TGTTATATTTAAATATTATAAACAATTGTTTTATTATTGTGGTTGGTTATTCTCTTTATTTAATCAGTATCATTTTTTAAACATATGCTGATCACGAGGTCTTATTGGACATCATTATATTTTTTTGCCTTATATCTAGTTTAGTAGACTTGTATTGTAACATTATTGTATCGTCATTAGCCTAAAAAATTGGAACAAAAATGAAAAAACTATGTTTTAGTTTATTGTGATTTCATATGTTTTAGTTTATTGTGATTTCACTTTGATTTAGTTGGTATTTAAATTTATAGTAGATATATTTACCCCCTGTTTAAACCATATTTTCCATATCATCATTATGAGAAAATTGATCGTTGGATAGGAAGTTGGGTCCCACACAAACAGTAGGTCAATAAAGGAGGTTGGACTTGTGGAATAACGATCAAAATTTTCATTTTTTTGTCCCAAAAGTTTTGTTCAAACATGGGTTTAGTTTGTTTTGGATTTATTGCTAGTAAGATATAAATATATATTGAATTCAATAAATTAATAGCATAAAAGTAGATAGGTAAAGACGAAATCGACGATTTAAAACCGGATCAGACCGTTCGGTTTAGGTTTGAGTTTTTGTTCAAACCGTTCAAAATGGTTTGGTTTATGTTTGAATTTTTTTCAAATCGATTTAAATGATTTGATTTGAAAATCTGTCAAAAATTGGTAAAATCGGACCGCTTCAACCCCTACTATATGGTATATATTCTATTATACTAAAATTGGATGTTTGTTTTTCTATTGTCCATGCCCACACTTGAAAATTATTTATTACGTCTCTAAAATCCAACCACAAATCATATTAAAACTGTTTCATGAATTATAAGCACAGTCAATTAGTGAATAGTTTGGCACGCCATATTAAATTGAGTAATGATCAGTAATTTAATCATATCTACTATTTAGTGCAAATAATATCTAGATTAAATTAATTTGAGGAGTTCATCCTCCTTTAATGAATCAGAGGCAGGACATGGGGGCCGGAAAGTGATGACAAAAAATTCCGTCCTTGACTTGCCTCACATTGACTAGGAGAGCAACGGGAAACATAGCTCCCCCCTCAATTCTTCAAACCGTGTAACAATTTGAAATTTCTTTGGATTTATATAGAAACTTTTTAACATGTAATATATATTAGTTTGTTTGGGAGCAATTTTTTGTCCCAAAAAATTGATTTTTTGACCGTTATTTCACTATTCCAGCCATCATATTTGACTTCTTCTCTCACAGGTGAACCCCACTTTTCTCCTAACGGTCAAAAAATCAATTCTCAAAATCACTCCCAAACAGGCTCATATAAAATTAATACATATTTTGTCCTTTCATTATTTTTCTTTTGTCCCTAAAAAATCTAGTCCTACCACTAAATTTATACTGATGACATTCAACGTTAGATTGTAGGGCATCGATGATAGATTATACCATCGTTGATGTCACATCATTTGTTGGAGGTGAGAATATATTATTAATTTCTTACTCCATCATTCGATTAAAGGATACATGGTTTTGGGTTTCTTAAAGAAATATAAATTGATTAGAACATTGTTTAGGATTTTGCATTAGAAAAACCTAAAAGGTAAGAACTTGGAAATGGACCAAGAATTTTTAAAATACTATAGATTAATTAAATATCAAAATTCCAACTAAATATTCTATCGAGGGAATTAATTGAAATGGCCGGCTTGCATCTCCATTTTATAAATAAGTCCTTTGACCAATGAGACCCTTTTTTAACTATGACAACTTAAAATGAACAGATACACGATTTCATGACAATTGGAAAGTTTGAGTGCACCCAAGTTATAATTTTCAAGTCAACAATGTAGCTTGAGGATGAAGGGACAACACTTTGTGCCTCCACATGTAATTTCAATTCATATATCTAATTTTGAGAGAACTAAATGCCTTTCAAACTCAATTGCACTTTTTTAAGTCACATATTATGTGGTTAGGTGACATATTTTCTTTTTGTAGCATTAACATCATGCATGTTTTGAGGTGTGAAAAATAAAATATCTACCATTGTTTTCAGGTTTCAGGTATGAGTGACTATTACCAACTTATTATAGCTTGACCCATAAACAACTCAAGCCCATATCAAAAAGACTCTGGAATTCAGTCGAACTCGATTTTCTGTTTGGTGAGTCAAACTAAGCCCGGAGTTTTGAGATCTTGGCTAGCCATGGAATTGACCAAGGGCTCGTGGGCTATCTTGATACTACACACGGTAGGGCCCATGCGTTGGCCAAGGGCTCGTCTCTTGATCAACGAGCTGGCCCAAGCTTGAGTCATTGACCAATGGGCTAGGCCCGACTTGTCCAACACCATGAACCAAGCTTGAGTGGTCAAGGGCCGAGCTAGCTTGCCGTAGCTCATTGTCATTTCTAATTCCGGGAGCCCACTTCTCATTTTTTCCAATATAACAACTTTAAATTAAGAGAAATTGCAGCAGTGATTCCTAACCTTTTCATTTTTTGCAGACTTTGCCCTAACTTTCATTTTTTGTCAGCGGAGATCCCTAACTTTTTATAAATATGCACCTGAAGTCTATCTAGACGAAATCCCTCCAAAATAATGTTAATTGATCGGGAAAATTCGTTGAACTATCTGCTACCGCGATAATCTTGTTGGATGTTAATACCTTTTTGGACGATTTTATTGGATGTTGAACTATTAGTTACCGCGACAGTTTTATTGGATGTTAATACTTTTTTGGACGGTTTAATTGGACGTTGGTTTCTTAATATTCCCGATCAACTGACGGTATTTTGGAAGGTTTCCATCCAGATGAATCTCAAGTGCATATTTATGAAAGGTTAGGAACCTCTGTTGGCACAAAATAAAGGTTAAAGTAGAGTTTATAAAAAATAAAATTATGAGAGACCGCTGCTATAATTTTCCCTTAAATTAATGAAAATATGCTTCTACAATGATACTTGGGCTGCTTAATCAGGTTGAAATGAGAACTTTCTTGTCTAATACTAGGCCCTATTTGGTATGTTTAAAAATCAAATTTTCATTATATTTTGATAAAAGTTGATGAAATGTATCATTAAAAAGTTTTGGATCTCATAAATGTATTACTAAAATTAATTGTTGATTTTGACTTAAATTTTTATTAAGATTTTAATTCACACAAAACAAGGACTAAAAATTCAATAACAATTACCCGCGTCTATTTCATCATCACAAAGTCAATTTCATTGAAGATCAATGACCTCATTTCATTATGTTTAAAGATTTCATTTTTTTATTTTTTAAATTTAAATTGTTGTTTATTTATTAAATGGGGATGCTAGCCGGCCATTTAAAGTAGCCTTGACATATGACATGGTATACATTAATATATTCTTCCACCTAATTATGATGATAAAATTTAATGAAATATTATTAACTATCGATCGACGTGACAATCAAGTCTGTTTAAAAAAAAAAAAAAAAAAAAACCCTTGAGATCAGGGAATAGAGCTAACTAAGCCCCTGTTTGATAGTAATTTTTTACCTCCAAAAAATTAATTTTTTAACTGTAATTTTACTATTTCAGCCATCATTTTTTATTTTTTCACATACTGGTAAAATACATTTCTCTTTCTAACGGTCAAAAAATTAGTTTTCATAATTACTACTGAACAGGCCTTAAATTAAGAAAAATTCAAAAATATTTGAACAGTAAATAAATTTTCTTCATTGCAATAATCATGTTTTAGGGGGTGTTTGAGCCACATTTTTTCAAAAAAATACATTCTTAAACAGTGATTTGACATCATTTTAACCACACATTTTTCAATAAAATAATATTACACGCAAATCAAAAACTTTTCTTTATTTTTTAACCACACATTTTCCATCAATACACTATTCAAGAATGCATTATTACCAAAATAATGTGGCTCAAACACCCCCTTAGAATTTTTTAATATGCAAAAGTCGTATTTACAATTTCATGTCGTCATTCTCCAACCAATGCAACAAACTATTCTAAAATCTAAACCTTGTAAGAAAATCTGTGCAACACATTTCTCCTTCTGTGCTTTCACCCAGGTTTTTCATTCTATTTTATACAGATCCGATAAAAAATTTGCTGTTCTGCATGTGATTGCATTCCTAAATTCTATTTCTAATTCCCTCACCGACTTTCCATGGTTATAACATCGAGTTTGTTCTAATTAATTCATCTCCTCTTTCATGGCATCATATCTTTCTCTAGACAAGAACTAATGCTACAAACTCAAGTCTAAGTTGGTGAAGTTCAATACGGTCGAGCTCTCGTGCTAAAAAGAACACCAAGGCATCTGCTACCCCTAGTGCTTGAGAGAGAGAGAGAGAGAGAGGGGGGGGGGGGGGGGGGCAAAAAAACTAAGAGTTTTTTTGGGAGTGATTTTGAGAATTGATTTTTTGACCGTTAGGAGAAAAGTGGGATCCACCTGTGAGAGAAGAAGTCAAATATGACAGCTAAAATAATGAAATAACGGTCAAAAAAATCAATTTTTTGGGTGAAAAAATCGGGCCCAAACAAGCCATAAATTCCAAATGGGGGATATTGGGGAAAAAGAAACTCCAATGGGATGATCCTATATACCTCGGAACTCGAGCTATTCAAAACACAACACATTGATGTCTACACATTTGTCAAATGAACTGAAAAAGCAAAATGCCCATTGAGAAGTGTACAACAAAAATACCCTGTTTTGATCAATTAAACTTGCGCAATTACCCTCAACCCATTTCCCTAAAATTCTCCTCATTCAGGGGCAAAAGGGAACATTGTGCGTAATGCGAAAACAAAGTTGAATGTATAAAATGAAATTTCTCTCGGATTAGTTGGGTGACGTCTTCTGTTTTATATCATTTTTGACCGTTTAAACTTTTCTAAAAATTATAATATTTTTTCAAAATTTCACCTCTTGCTTTTTTGGGCTCCCTATCGTATCTTATAAATCCCACAACCATCTTCCATTCTATTCACCAAATACTTCACCGTTTTTCTCTGCAGATTCTTCACTAATAATGAATTCTTTGTTCTTATTAGGTTACTTTTACAGTAGCTGTATTCTGCTACTTCTGGTGCACCAAGCTAGTAGTTGGGGGCCGTTGGATCCCACAAAAAGCTTCATATCTTTACCATTTAACAGATCATATTATCACATTCAGAAACCATATGATGTGCCTGAAAATCAAAGATACAGCTTCAAAAATGGAGTTCACAGGTTATGGGTTTTTGCCACAGACAAACCACACACTATTACAAGCCAAACGAAACCTCGAACCGAGATTGCCATTCAAGTAAGTGATTGAAAACCTTAGTTTGATTCCTATTCATGATGAAAAAGAACAAACATTCTATGCTAATATGATTTTTTGATATAACATCTGGACGAAATTTGAGAAGTCGCATGACGTTATAAATAACGCTACTAGAAAATGCACCAACGGTAATAAATTATTATCGTTGGTATCCGTTATTGTCATAGACGAAATTTATATGAAGAAGATATTTTTCCTCTTTAACGATTTAAACTTTTAGATTAATTGGTTCAGCCCCTGTTTGAGCCCCATTTCTTGGAAAAAAATCATTTTTAAACAGTATTTTGATATCATTTCAATAACACATTTTTCAATAAAATAATATTACACACAAATCTAATATTACACATTTTTTATCAATACACTATTCAAAAATACATTTTTATGAAAAAAAAAATGGGGCTCAAACAAGGGCTTAATATGGTATTAAAGCCAACTATGACACCTGATCCAAGTCTCATTATCACCTGTTTATGAAAATTGTTTTCGTATATCCTTTTAATGAAAGAAATTCTCTTCTCGTACATGAGAGGATGTATTAAAAAGAAACTTTGGTTCTATATAAAAGCTTAACTCTTAGATGAGATGCTTCAATAGCAATGAAATTCATTGCTGATGAGCATCATAAGCACATTCCAATGATTCAATGCTCTTCCATTCAAATCAAAATAGATCCATAAATTTTGGGTAAACCTTTTGATTTCTCAACATGAATTTTATCTTTAGGGGTACAATTATTCATCGGGAGTTTGGCAATTCGAAGGGCACGCCTATGTGCCATATGGGACGTCTGGCGTATGTATCATGCAAGTGTTTGGGGCTGATCCTCCTCATGCGACCACCGCAATGATCAGAGTCTACAATGGTTCGCTAACGTATTATCAAGAGTCCGTCCTAGTTTCGAGCATCTATAACCAGTGGTTCCGGCTAAATGTTATCCATGATGTCGATGCTAAAAAAGTTAGGGTATATATTGATGGTTTTCTCAAACTAGAAGCACAAGGCCGTGGAGGGTCTTCTCACGCATTTAAATGTGGTGTTTATGCTCAAAATAATGATTCGTATTACATGGAATCGCGTTGGAAGAACATCAAAATTCTGAAAAAATGTGATTGAGAATAGACGAACATTACCATATGTATATTCATATGCGTGCTATGTATCTTTACTTTTATCCATTTCTCCGTATGAGTCGGAATAAATATGTTTAAGACAAGTCTCTTTAATATTCAAAATGGATGTTTCACACTAAAATCGAAAATACCTTGTTCTCATTCTATGTACATCATTTTAGCATTCATTGATTCTCTATAGTTAAGCTTAAGACAATGCTAAAAACTATAAATTTCACAAAATTATTAATTCCATATATACCTAATATTAGAGATCGCATATGTTTGTTTCATGTTTATAAGTTGTTTATAGATGTTCTAAGCCACTATTTATCTACACAATTTGATCAATCCATGTGCTTCATTTCCGATTTGGTAATATTTTTACAAAGTTTTCTTCCACTTTTATATGACATTATTTTAAATTCAACGTATCAAACATATCATAAATATATGTAGAAAAGAAAATTCAAACTTGCTAAATTCAAATAAAATGCATATTATTTGAGCGTTAATTCTCTGTTAAGGTCATCCAAGGAAGGTGAGTTTGTGTATAAATTTAGTATATTACAGCAATAAGAGAGAGAGAAAAATAATTTGCAGTCCCAAAAATTAAAAAAAGGGAATAATATTTGTTTGGAGGCGTAGCAAACCTCAGCTAGCTAAAAGGCATATAGGGATGAAAGGTATACAATTTTCATCAAATAAAGAAAGATTCCAAGACATAAGCATCTTGAGTATTTTGTCTTTGTATTGTCATTTGTATCTCATTCCATTGTTTATAGTATTTTAATATGCGAGTAATGCTATTGGTATATAAAGAGTTACAGAAAGTATTACAGATGGATAAGGTGTCAAGAAGAGAATGAAGAATTTTTTTAATTCTTCCTCTTCTTCTTCTTCTTCTTCTTCCTCTCCTTTTTTTTTTTTTTTGGTTGAAAAAATTGTAATCCAATCATATTTTATCATATTATGTGTATGTGCACCAATTTATAAGTGACGGGTTCACTTGGATTTAAACTAATAGTTTCAAAATTCGATTCGATGATTTTTGTGTTCATCCCTACACTCACGTGCGTATTATCAGCGGACCATTTCCTTGATTCTTCCAATTGGCCCATTTCTTTTTTTTTTTTTTTTTTTTTTTTTGATATCCAGGTATCCCAACTTACACCAGACTAAATTCTCGACCTCCAAGACCCATGCCCCTAGAACCTTGGAGGGGGTAAATCGCGGAATATGCCTCAACTGGATTACAGGTTTCCCCCATTGACTGTACACTTCTGCGCACAAGAGACCCTCCTCCACAGTGATTGCTCCATACCAAATTTTTAGCCGCAAGTTCCCACCAGAAATCGAACTCTCCACCCTGCCGCTGGAAGCAAGCTAATGTTGATTGATCCACCAGTTGAGATGTGCCCCGACGGGCACCAATTGGCCCATTTCTTACATGTACTTGCAGTAGGTTAGGAGAACGTATGTATATAAAACATACAAGTACTGGAGAAATCAAGCCCTAACAACCATAGACTCACTCAAGTGACACGCACAATAGATAGTCGATGACAAAAACCCTGGAAAAAAGTTGTGAAAAGTTACACAAATTGATCTTGGCTGATAAAGGCTATACTAATGAACTCGGGACAAGCCCCATTTTTTCCAAACTAGAACCCGAGGCTTCACAATATCCTCGTAAAATGTATGTTTCGTCTTGAGTGAATCCGAGGGTAGTCAACGTGTTAGGCCAGCCTTCATTATGCTTATGTCTTGGCAACAAGTAGGAATAATACCAATAGCACCATTTATGAAATAAGCCATAATCTCATTTGAGCACGATCTTATCTCGATTAGCATGGTCCAGGAGTCGAGCGTGTTCTAACTAGCTTCGAGTCTTGTTCAGAGTTCGGATCCCGGAATCAATGGCATAATTTGTCTAGACGAGGTAATAGAAGTGCCACAATACAAATGGTAAGTATTAAATTGAGTAATATACAGTTGAGAGCCATTTTTTGTCTAAATTTTAATATAGAAAATTGAAATAACGGGAATTTATAAATTGGGAAATGATTATGGGGTGTTATCTACGATTACGACTTAGTCCATTTTTACGATAAAGAGGATTTTTCGCTTAAAATTAAATACTTTTAGTTTTTAGGCAGAGTTCATGCTATTTGTGTAAATTCCTCAATAATTTTCTTATTGGGCTCCAAGCGACAGGGCCCAATTTTGAATATTTATCAAACGTGTCTTTATGTACATCAGTTCGGCCCACTCATTCGAATCCTTCATTTTTTTGTTCAGCTTAACAAGTGGGCGTCCCCGGCGTACAATAGCGTTCTCGCCTACAGCAAAAGGATGAGCAAAGAGGATCTGCCGAGGAAGGAGGCTAACGTGCTCCGGGGGCACGAAGGCGCAGTACTGGCTGCCAGGTTTAACCGGAATGGGGAGTATTGCCTGAGCTGTGGCAAAGATCGTACTATACGGCTTTGGAATCCTCACCGTGGATTGCACATCAAGACCTATAAATCTCACGGTCGTGAAGTCCGCGACGTCCATGTCACCCCGTAAGTCAATTTACTGCTAAGCGTCTCATCTAAAAGCTTAATCTTTTGTAATAAAGCTCGCATTACATTTGTTAGATGTTAAATTAATTTAAGCGATCATTTTGTAGGGATAACTCGAAACTGTGTTCGTGTGGAGGTGACAGACAAGTATTTTATTGGGATGTGGCAACTGGTCGTGTTATTCGCAAATTTCGTGGTCATGATAGTGAGGTTTGTTTATTTGTACTTTCGTTGTGTTTAAATTATTTGGATTGGATTGCATTTGAAATTAAGGGTTTTATGCAGAATGGATGTTTAGATGTGACAATATTGGGAACGTTATGGCTATAATCAATTCGTTATATGAGGGAATTCTGAAATTTTGACACGAGATCAGAATATTGTTTTGATTTGCTAGTGCGGATCAATGAGGATTTTAACTGTAGAAGTTTTTTCGTGCAGACTGTTTCTGAAAGAAGATGAAATATGAAATTGTCTTGTGAGTAGCACAGACTCAAGTGCCTTTGCTCTGTCTCGTTCTATATTACTTAAGATTATAAATAATACTATCTGACGGGATGTGTGTATTTAAGTCCCCACAATCTCTTATTTAGAACTTTACAATAATTTAACATCATCTGCTCTTCTTGGATTCAAACTGGGATCTTGATTTTCTAATTGTAGTGCAAAACCGTTAACGTGGATGCCTTATTATTAATTGGTAAATGGTAACTATTGGATATGTAATTACATAAGCCACAGGAGTTGTGAGAATAATAATGTTATTGGCTAATATTATTTTCTGTGATTCTCATGCTGCACTTCTATCTGGTTATATCTGGTGTTCGTTCTTAAATGAAGTTATTAAACTCCTTAAGGTTGTTGCACCTGGTGACGTGTGAAGTTCGTGCATAGATGAGATACTTGAAGTTCTTAAACAATCCTCCATCTAATTTGCCTGCAATCTTTATGGATGTTTTCCAAAAAAAAGAAAATGTTTATGTTGAGAATGAAACTCTTTTTTTAACATCTTTATTTCAAATTATCTTTTCCTTTCTTATGGAACACGATCCTTCCAGTTTATAAAAATTTTGATATGTTGCAACTAATTTTCCCTTTATGACACTTTCATTTTTCATTCTTACTAGGTAAATGCTGTAAAGTTTAATGAATATTCATCTGTAGTGGTATCGGCAGGATATGATCGTTCAGTGCGAGCTTGGGACTGCAGATCTCATAGCACTGAGCCTATTCAGGTCAATCTCTCCATTTCACTACGCAAGATCAACATATGGTAGCACTCTTCTATAAATTGTATCTTGATATTTAGGCTCCATTTGGTACCTTTTTTTTTCAAAATGTATTTTTCTCTCTCTTTTTTTCAACTACACGTTCCTTATTAAAATAATATTACACGTAAATCAAAAACTTTTCCTTATTTTTCAACCACACATTTCCCATCAATTTACTATTCTAGAATGTATTTTTACATAAAAACGGCTCTCAAACGCCCCCTTAATTTTAGACCAGGCAGGCTTTCCATCGCTGATTTAGACAAGTTTTGGTGACCGAAAAATCAGAATTAGGCCAGTCTGGATGTATGTTTGTTTGTTCAAAGTAGGACATTGAAGAGTATATTTTTAATTCAGGCACTGTTAATTATTTTTGAACTGTTGTGAGGCATTAGAATATTGAAGTCCAGTAAATGGGTACAAGTGTGTGGAGTATAAGGATAGTGTTGAAAATCAGCTATCAAGAATTAGGCACTATGATGTGCAGATTCTTGGATAGACATCTTTCAGTTTTGGTGGTGTTTGCAAATTATGTATAGTCCATCTAAATATAATATCCATTTCACATACAATATTAACTCTAAATGATGGTCTCGTGAACTAAGGTATCATCAAAGTTGAACGTGTGAATTTCCAAAGTTTAAACAGGTGAACTAATATCAAAATTTCACATATGAAGAGTAGACCTTACACAACTCTTTTAGAATCTTAAAAGAAATCCAAAAATAACTAGAAGAATTGTACTCCGTAATAGAACTTAAAAACAACCTCATTGTAATTCCCTTGTGATAACAAGATCAAACAACAAAATTTCCTAAAATACGAAATTTTGTTATTTGATTTCTTATCATACTTGAATTACAATTATATATGGATTGTTCCCCCTGCGCGGTAGAGCTGAGAATGTATAAGTTCTATTATGGAATATAAGTTCTTCTAAATATGTTTGGATTTCTTTTAAGGCTCTGAAAGAGTTATGTGTAATTAGATTGTGCCTCTATGAAAACTCATTTGTGTTTGAATTATTTAATGTTTACTTAGCAATGAAAGAAAATTCTAGTAATTTTTGATGCAGAGTTCCCACTTTTAAATTTTCCTTAGAAATTTTACTGTCATGCAAGCAACATCCTTGATTTTCTTCATGTTATAATTAATGGAATCAAAGTGCTTAAGACATGCCCAAATGATCATTCATAAACTGCATTAGTATGTTTTGTCTGTGTACACTGCTTGCTCATATGCGTTGCCCCTTATTTAACCTAAATGATGGAATTGGATCAGTCAACAGAGGATGAACATTAGGATGTGACATTAAGTGATTAGGATCGTAATGTTGTGCGGAATTTTGTTTCTTGTCTGGTGAATCTAAGAATTTCGGATGATGCTTTTGAATTTAAATTATCATTTTCTTGCTGGCTGACTCTTCTTCCAGCTACCGCCACCAGTATAAAACTTTCGAATTTTTTATCACTACTGTAATATAGAATCCTAAAAAGAAGCTCATCCCGGGTTAGGAATTGAGGACTATTTCTATCATTCTTTCCGTTCAACATATTAAAAGGGTTTCATGTTTCAATCAAATGTCAAATATAATTTGGCTTGTAATAACGAGACTTAATGTGTCCAGGCCCATAATTGCTTAATGTTATATTTCCCTTGTGCTACTTCAAATGCACAAATTAGTAGTATCTTCTTTGCCTTTACCTTTACCATTTCTTAGTCTTTTTTCGGTCCTTCGAATGCTTTACTGAATTTCTGAATACTATGCAGATCATTGACACTTTTTCAGATAGTGTAATGTCTGTTTGTTTAACAAACACTGAGATAATTGCTGGAAGTGTTGATGGAACTGTTCGAACTTTTGACATTCGAATTGGTAGGTAAGTACCACTGATAATAATCATCACTTTCCATCTCAAGAACGTAAAGTTTGAGATTCAAATAGGTAATTCATTTGTGGTTGCTCTCTTACACTGTAACGAATTACCTTTCGATGATTCTTATCAGAGAAATATCTGACAACTTGGGGCAACCTGTTAACTGTATCTCTCTTTCAAATGATGCTAACTGTATATTAGCCAGTTGCCTTGATTCTACAATACGACTTCTGGATCGGTAAATGTTTCTACAGAATTCTGTTCTGGAATTTAGTATTGCTTTTACAATTGTTTTAAATGGATTCTTTTGTGTTGAAAGGTCTAGTGGTGAACTATTGCAAGAATACAAAGGCCATACTTGCAAGGTTAGTGTAGAATCCTGGACAGATAACTCGTGACTGTCTTTCTCCTCTTGTCATTATTAGAGTGTGGATACTTCATGTTACTACAACCTTCTGCATTTACGATGGTTGATTTCCACTGTTCATTTACTCTTCTTGTTTCTTCGACATGGCATGATCAAGACTTGGGCTTGTTTCACAAATTTTTCTTTATATCTTTCCTCGTGATTTATATAGTAGTTTTCATAATCTCGATGGTGATTTTTACTTGCTTTTCATTTTTAATTGAATCAGTCTTTTAAGATGGACTGCTGCTTGACAAACACGGATGCCTATGTAACTGGTGGTTCAGAAGATGGCTTCATTTACTTTTGGGATCTGGTGGATGCATCTGTCATCTCCAGTTTTCGAGCCCATGTTTCAGTGGTAAAATAATTTGAATAACACAGCATTCCTCGATTTCTTGCCTCAAATCATTCATGAGCTTTTACGTTGCTATCATCATGAGAGTTGATAAAAATTTTACATTGTTATTCCTTGATGTGTTTAGTGACGTACCAGTACGCAAGTTATTTAGCCAATCTAACATCTGTATATTTGAGGGTTTAGTCTCTAATTCAACTTTCTAGCTGTTAAACTCTTCAACACTTCGGGCTTGAAACTCTTGGTTGTGACTTTTTTTTAGCAAAATGCCTACTATTGGTTGCAAATGGGTGAATTTTAGGGTCAGTTTGTTCGGCATTAGTGTTCTTCCCTCTTTCGCCTTCACATTTTTGCATGTTTGCGTCTTTGGGAGGGGGGACGGGGCTGGATAAGATAAATAACTTAGCGTTTGGAGTTGTGTTGTTAGTATTTGTCCTTTTTTAACGTTTTACTGTTTTACGACAGGTAACCAGTGTAAGTTATCACCCAAAGGAAAACTGTATGATCACTGCTTCGGTTGATGGAACAATCCGAGTTTGGACATCCTAAGAAGATTGATTGCAAGATTTTCGAATGCAGATTGCTCTTTATATTCTTGTTTGTCCCAGTTTCCTTGTAATAATACATTCAATATGCGAACCCGTCTACTTGTATTCATAAGCATGTAGAATGAATAACCAGAATGCCCTTGTTTTGATTCACCTGTGAATTAGTTGTTAATGCATAAAGAAACTTAGACATGAAGTGTGGCATCAGATGTTAGTAATCTACGTAAAAGTTACCTTGAGCAAGTTCAACTATTTAAATAATTTACTCTTTTTTTTTCAGCAAAAAAAGGTTAGTTTGTACTTGAATTAGTTCTTATTTACTCCTAACATAGATGGTTGACTCTTTCCAATTAATAAAAATGTAAAATTTTCAAATTACTTATTTATCGAGTTAAACATCGATAATTACTCGAATAAAGTTAGTCAAACAGGCTAAAAAAACAGAGATTTAGAGAAGGATTTGGTAGAAAATTGTTGGATTTTTATTTCTTAATTTTTCAAAGTGTTCAATTATGTTTCGACACGTGTCTACCTTGTTTTTTACCCTGTTTTTGAGTCTATTTCTGTAGCACTGTTGTAATTACTCAACTTACACAAAGGTTACTGTTCATGATTTGTTTCAAAGTTTAAATTGCGTTTCAATTTGGTTTACTTAAAATTTGTTAGTTATTTTAAAAGAAATGTTTGACATTTAATCGGTCTATACGTCTTCCAAGTCAAGCAGGATCAAATCAAAGTAGTTGTAACTTGTAAGCAGAGTGAATCTTTATCCTTTACTTATAAGTAAATTATTTAAGCTTATCCAAACGTGCTCGTAATAATTCCTATTCTATTACGTATTTTGTTTAATTGGTGTGTTTATTCCAAAAACAATGGAACACCCAAAACGGCTAACGGCTAACGGCTACTGCTCACATTTTATGTACTCTGGTCCAAACACACGTATCTTTGTTTGTTTGTAAATCTTTGATTCCAATTGAGTTTTCAGATTTAAGAGATCAATTTTATTAAGAAAGTTGATTAGTGTTTTTATCTCTAATCTTATATTTGGTTAATTACTATAAACTTTTTATAAATGATCGAATCACTTTTTATTTACACACTTTTTGAGATTCACAAGCACTGTTCACTTGTGTACCAGTCATTTCTATCAATGTATGCTCAATCGTTTATAAATACTTCTCAAACAAATTGTAACTTGTGGGAAATTTATCTTGCAAAATGGTGATGTGTTTGAGCATATCGATATTGGAATATAATGGCTCGTTTGAGAGTTGCCGCTTTTAAAACTTGGGATTTCATTTTTAAAGATGAACCTTAATATCACCAATGTGAATTATATATTATTAGTATTTTTATATCTAATCAATGTGAAATTTACTCTTAATGACCATCGTCAAAATACTACCAAGTGAAATAATAAATTAAAATCGAAAAATTGAAAAACAAGTAAAATATATCAAATATTGAGTAGTTCACTCTCAATGCGAGAATTACATCTTCTTGCTAGTGCAATATTTCGACATAATAAGATGATTACTATCTATCTTTGAACTCATGTGTCTGTTTTTTTTTTTTTTTTTTCTACTAAAAAAAATGCACATATCAGTCAAAAGAAAGAGTAGACAACATAATTCTCAAAAAAAACAAATTTTAATTAGGTATAGTTCTACTAATACTTGTTTAGTCATGCTTTAAAAGAATTGCTTTTTTTATAAATAAATAAAGCAGAGTCACAATAATTGAGAAGAAATTTCGACCCATAAAAGGTATAGAAGTTCGATAGTTATAACCAGTGTTCTAAAAGACATAATTCGTAGCGATGTGTGAAGGCCAAATTATGAGTTAGGCGAGGTATAAGCATAAAAAAAACGTAAAAATATATTTTCTTATTTTAACATTACTTTAATTTTTAATCAATCAAAATATTATTTAATAATTAAAGTAATACCTACCAAACATCTAAAATAGATTTATAGGAAATTTATACATTTCTTCAAAGTTTCTAACAAAAAATAAGTTTCAAATATAAATAGTAAATAGTAAATAAATAAGAATTTTTGGGAGTTTTTTTTTTTTTTTTCAATGCTTCAAGCAACTATTTTGAATCTAGGGTAGACGAAGTGAAAAAAATCAGCCTTTAAATTTTAACTTAGAAGAATTGAAGGAAAATAAAAATAAATCTAGCGGTTGTAGACCTCCAAATAAGGCGCTAAGCCAAGTGGGTTGACGTTTTCACCACGCATTGCACATTGATGCCATCTAGACACGTCTTTTAGAACACCGATTACAACCATATCAAAACATATGTTAAAGTAGCACTATATCATCGAGAGCAACCTATTGAGAAAAATCATCGAGTTCATAGATAACGTATGAAGTAAGCATGGATTTATTTGCATGCATTTTATGTATTATTTTAGACTTGCGTTTGAAACTTAAAACTTAGTTTCCAAGTTGAGTAAAAAGCGAAAGTCGAATTATAGCTTTAGTGAAATCTAGTAGGATAGTACCACGAGTAACATAAATTTTTCACAGTGCTCAAATATTACTTATTTTGCTCGCTACTTTTTCAAGAATCCATGAGCACTTCTTGTAACAAACCTCACAACGGGATGCACTCATAATTAATCATTCAAAAAGCAAAATTAAAAAAAAAAAAAAAAAATTGTTCATGAAATGCACCCAAAGTTCGAGTGATGAGACATTTTTTCCCCTTTTCTTTTATTCTTTTAGACAGTGGGGGTGTTTAAAGGGGTTGATTCTTGAATTGGTCTAGTTTTAACATATTTTTGTGCTTTATAGAAGATTGGTGTTAGGTATGCGTCGTTTGTTTTGTCTTGTAATGTTACAGTTGACAACATTGAACAGTTAAAAAAAGAAAATTAAAATTTTGTTGATTGTACGGTATACTGTTGCTTGATATCGTTTATCAACCTTGGTTATATATAACTTTAAAATAACTAAGATATATTAAGAAAAGAAGACGTGTAAGTGTTCTTTTCACGTAACAAATTTGTAAATAAATTTAACATAAAATTGAACACAATATGATATTTATAAAAGCCCATTTCGCCCTAATTGTCGATGATGCAAGGCAAGCCAAGGAGAGAATTAAATTGAGTCGAGCTTGATTCTCAACGTCTACTCTTATATAACTTTTTTTCATTTTTTATATCTCGTCTTTTTTAGACAGATAACTATAAAATAAATCATTTAAATTTATATTAGATTCACTGGTCATCCAACTAAACATGAGTGTGCTTGTTTTAGTAAAAATGGATCATTATTTGTTCATTAAGATTAGGGATGACAAAAATCCTATTCAGCCTCACATTATCCCTTCTCGAATTCCCGGAGCATTTAGGGTCTGTTTGGGAGCGATTTTTTCATCCAAAAATTTGATTTTTTTATTGTTATTTTACTATTTCAGTCATCATATTTGACTTCTTCTCTCACAGGTGGACCCCACTTTTCTCCTAACGGTCAAAAAATCAATTCTCAAAATCACTCCCAAACAGGCTCTTAATTTAATTTTTATATATTTCGATTAAATGTATTTTGAATAAATAAATAATAATTACTATATTAAAGTTGGAGCTAAATGCAAAAAGTAAAATTATACTCGTTTCGTCTCGTCTCGCCTCCTAAAAAACCCTGAAGAGACGGGGACGATTATTTAATCCCCGTCCTATCCCATACTAAACTATTACCATTCCTTATCAATTAAAATTTCTTATTTCGACATTAAAATAAAAATTACAGTTTCTTTTTTAGCCACTTTTTAGGGAGAGAAAAATATGTGACATTTTGACAATATGGTCACTTTTATATGTGCAGTGTCAAATTCCCCTTCAAATAAAAAGTTCATATGAGCTATGGTTGAGAAGTACACAATATTTTAGACAAAAAGTTTAAACTTCTAAAATAAGCTATTAAAGATATACTATTACCCACGAAAGAATAAGCTTATGTTCGGTTGGGATTAAAATCAGATATTTAGTAAATTTTGATAAAATTTGATAAAATGTGTGATTGAAAAGTTGTGAATCCCATGAAGTATGGGATTAAAATTAAGCACTTGTTTGTCATCATTTACTTTACATTTTTCCCCATTATTTTTTATGCAGTACTCTTTTTTACCACACATTCTTCATTACAATAATATTACATGTAAATTCAAAAAAATTCATTCTCTTTTAACTATACATTTACTATCAATCACTATTTCATAATATGTTTCTTCAAATTAATAGGACTCAAACAGGATCTAATTGTTGAGTTTAATTTAAATTTTGGATTTTAATCGATAATAAATAGGAGCTAAGCTTTTGTGACAGTCTCTTCCTCCAATATAGTTCGAACTGTCTTAATCGGAGAAAATTGCAGAATATTGGACGTAGCTGCCCAACAATCAATCATGTGACAGCTTTCTATGTTCACAAACACTATCAAGTGCCATAATAATATGAAACTGTCTTGCGTGACCATTTAGACAATTTTTATAAAAAAATAAATGACTTTCATTATATTTGTGAAATTAGAATGATCATTTCATAAAATGGATGCAAAACAAAACGTGGAGGGTGACCATGTCCTATGTTTTATTTCGACCTCATTCAAGAATATAAAAATGATAAGCTCTGTCACACATCGCATGACAACACTAGGAACATTCCACGTGAAAAGTAGACCTTGACCCCACACTCCACGGCCAACTGTCCCCGGCCAACTGTCCCCATGAAGAGGCCGAACCAATATGGAATACAAACCCCATGTAACTGAGTTGACCCCATTGCAAAGGATCGAAACCTCGTAATGGGAAAGGCTACTGAAGGGACTTTGCGGAGATTTTTCGCAATTGTTGTCGCTCTATTCGGTCAATTAGGTCAAGTCTAAGTTCCTTGCGAAGTATTATTAACAATAAAATGGTACTAACATTTAATGCTCATGACTGATTGACATATTCGACAAGAGACATCAACCACATAGATGAGGCCACACACTTTCGTCCTATGGTTAGTGATCATCCAATTCTACTATAAAAGCTCACATAATATGTTATTCCAAAGGTAATGCAAGTTTATACTCTCAAGCTATAACTTCACTTTATCGTTGTTTTATCTATCACTCTCCAAAGTCGATTCTTTTTTTTTTCTTTTTTTCTTTTTTTTTTTTTAACCATTGGAGGCTCATTTCTAAGACTATCCAACATTCATATGCTTATTTCTCAGAAGAACCCCCCTACTGTTTTGTTTTGAAGAAGAGGTCTAAAGCGAAGAACAACGAGGTCATTACTTACACAAGTGACAATTCACACAGAAAAAGGGCTCGAAATGTGGTTTTTCACTAAAAAAAGCCGCAGAGATAGCCGGATAATGAAAATAAATCTTTTTACAATTTGACAATTTTTTGCAAAGTAAAATGGTAAGAAATTGTCGAGCCTCTCCTTTTATAGGCAACTAGGACAAAGCCACACTCTTTGATGAATTTCACTAAAATTTCAGGCGTATACATGTAACCCTCATTTGACACGTTAAAATCAAAAAGGACCTATTGAAATTTGAATAGGCGATTTGAATCATTCCATGCTCAACATGCACCTACAAGTCGCGTCACTTCTACAAATTGTAACATACTACCATGATTGTATAGTTAATCAGCACGCAATACGCTTCTCGAAGAATTGGAACTGCTTAGCTACCGTATCTTTAAAACAGGAGAAGTTATTAAATCATTACAGTAAGCATCCTATCAATGTTTCAAACATATCAACAAGTTCGTGATATTATGAAGGGGCTTGCCTTCATTTTCAACTTTCACACAAGTTTTAAATACATCAACAAGCTCGCCATCTTATAAAAGGCCTTGTCCTCGTGCTTTTCAACCTTTGTATAAGCTTCAAACACAATAATAAGCTCACACTCTTAGTAAAGGTCTCACCTTCATGCTTTTCTGCCTTAGCACAAGCTTCTATCACTTCAATAGGCTTGCCTTCTTATGAAGAGCCTCGCCTTCATGCTTTTGCAACCTTAGTATAGGCTTCAAACACATCAATAGGCTCGCCATCTTAGCAAGGACCTTGTCTTCATGCTTTTCAGCTTTAGCATAGGCTTCAAACACATCAATAGACTCGCCATCTAATGAAGGGCACTTTCATGCTTTTCAGCCTCAACACAGGCTTTAGATAGATCTGCACTACTTTTTCTTTGCAAATACACGAAGTCATCCACTATACCTTAACTTAGAAGTCCACGTATTTTATGAATAACAATACGTTGATTTTGGGGACTATTGAGCTAATGACACTATTCTTTCTACGCAGAAACGAAAACAGAACAATTTATCAGCAATTACACCTCAACTTAAAAGTCCACACATTATATGAATAACCATACATAGACTTTGAGGACTATTGTTACGCCTCACACGAAAAATCTCCAGGAATCCTACATGGCAAGCAAATATAGGCTCACAGTCTATGTCCGACTGCCAATAGGCAGTTGGCCGAACCCCTTGAAGATGTTGAACTAATATGGGATACCAAACCCATGTAACTGAGTCAACCCCTTTGCAAAAGACCAAACATTTGTCATGAGAGAGGTTGCAATAGGGACTTGATAGGAGATCTTTCACACAATCATTGGTATGTGATTGATATGACAACTTACTGCTGCAACCGCCCTATGTAGCCAATTAGGTCAAATCTAAGCCCATGCTAGGTGTTATGAACAATAAAATGGAACTAGCACTTAATGCTCATGATTAATTAACATCTTCGACAAGAAGTCTCAACCACACAGATGATGCCACGTATATTTTCATCATATGGTTGGTGATCATCCAATTCTGCTATAAAAAGCTTACATAATGTGACATTCCAAAGGTAATGTAAGTTTAAACTCTTAAGCTATAACTTCGCTTCATTATTGTTTTATCTATCACTCCCCAAGGTTGACCCCATTTTTATATTGAAGGTTCACGTCTAAAACCCTCCCATATTCATATACTTATTTCTCCAACCTACTTGATTGTCGAAATGTGTGCGGCCAACTCCACCACATTGGAGAAAGCCACATGTGACTAATGGTTTGTCTGGACATGAAAGGTATTGGAATATGTTGACCACATCAGAGCACAAAATTCAGGGTAAGCTCTATTATTTCTTTGGACAAGTAGATTGTGTTGATAGACTCACCCGAAAGCCCCACACATTTTCAAGTGCACATCGTACAATTTTCAACTGGTCATGTTTTAATCCATAGTTATGCGTAGTGAAAATTTTGATATACTTTTTTTAGTTGAACCGAGCATGGACTAAAATGATTACTACTTTATTTATAAGTTAACACAGAAGTTTTCAAAATAAATTCTTTATTGGTGAAAGGTGAAAATAAGTAACACGAAGCTTTCTTCTAGTCTGAGAGTGAAGAAAAGAAATCTCGTAAAGAGCAAGTAACTTATAAGCTTTTAACCTGCTTAAGTGGATTTTTCTCATTCTCCTTTTAAATACAATTAAGAAAGTTGATGATCCAATTATAGGGAGTTAGCAATCGAGGCTCCATTACCGTCGTGAGTATAAGTGAGAGTTTTCTCCTAAAAATAGATGTCTATTTTTTGCTTAAATGAGTGCTTACTCGATAAATTTATTAACATTCCAAACTTCAATTTTAACCATATTTCATAAAAATTTATCAAAATTTTTGTTGAACGACTCCATTACTAAAAATCAACGTAGTAGAAGTACATCTAGTCCATATTTGATGGAGATTAAAATTAGATTTTTAATGGATTTTAACAAAAATTGATAGAATGTGCGGTTAAAAGTTATGGAGCTCATAACAGATGTAACTAAAATTAATTTAGATTAAAATTTAGATGATCACCAAACAAAAGGCTAGTAACTCTTTTACTTTTAAATTAATTGACAATAAAGCCCTTTTTTGACACACATTATAATGAGAAATTTTGGAAAGATGTATTATTAAATAATATTTTTTTGGAAGAATATGGTTAGAAAGAAGATTTTCTTTTTACTTACGTGCTATATTATTTTAATAAAAAATTTATGAATATATATATTATTTTCAACCGCACAATCTTTTATAAAATAATATTACATATACGGGGTGTTTGATATCTATTTTATTGTAAAAATGTATTTTAGAATAGTAAATTGATGGAAAATGCGTGGTTGAAAAATAAGGAAATTTTTTTGATTTACGTGTAATATTATTTTAATAAAGAATGTGTGGTTGAAAAGAAGAGAGATAAGAATACATTTTAAAAAAATGGGTACAAAATGGGACCATCAATCGAAAATTTTTCATTATTTTTTAACTACTTATTTTTTTTTTAAAATATTATTTCAAACCATTTTTATTTTCACAAAATGAGGTTAGACGAGGGCTGGGCTGTATATATATATATATATTAAAAATTTAAAGGGTGTGAAAGGGGGGCAAAAAGTTGTCAAAAGCAACTTGACTTGATTGAACTTCAGCCATTGGCCCATGGATAATTCCCAAAACATACATCCTTGTCTGTAGGATCTGCTTACGCGGTTTATTCTCCGCTACGCGTTTTCTCTATCTCTATCTCACTGTGTCTCTCATTTGTAACACCAAAAGAAAATCGCATCTCAGTCCAAAAAACAAGACACGAGAGCCAGTGGGATTCAGTATAAACCAACATCCACCAGCTGGATTGCAGACCCTAAAAGGACTATTTTTTAAATTTTTATCTCTGTTTCTCTCTCTACAGATACATACATTATACATACAACTCAAAGCACCAGTCACCACCATTATTTCTCACACGCTATAGAATCCAATCCAGTGGCTTCACTTTGCTTCTTTCTGAAAGAACCTCGTATTACTGTACAAACTTAGCTTGTAGAGAAAACAATATTTTTTCAACAAGCCCATTTACCTGTGGGTTTTTCTTACTAATCACTTCTTCCCTACCTTTTACTTTTTTTAATTGGGAGTATCTTTTTAATAAGTGCTTTTTCCCAATGTGGGGATTTGGGGTCACTTTCAGTGTTTCGAGTCTCAATTTGTAACGCAAAACTGGGTATTTTTCAGCCATTTTGTATTTTCAAGTTTAATATTGAGGTGAGTTTGTGTATTTTGAACAGTTCTGTATTTTTTTCCCCACAAAAAACTGGATTTCCAGTTGTTTATCTGAGTTAAGCGTAGGAATCTTGAGGTTGTTTTTCTCTTCTTTACCAAAAGCGGGTTTTTTATGCCATTCCAGTTATTTTTATGCATTGCAAAGTTGAATCTGAGGTGGGTTTTTGTGATTTGAAGATTTGGTTTTTGCTCAAAAAAGTGTAGTTTTGATTATTTTGTGAATGCTAATGGACACCGGAGGGAGGCTTATTGCTGGCTCTCACAATAGAAATGAGTTCGTTCTCATTAACGCTGATGAAATTGGAAGGGTAAGTCTCTTTAATAATTTCATTTATTTTTGTTTTAATTTCAGTTTTATAAGCATCCATTTCCCACTTATTTATGCTTTAAGAAGCTTATTTTTTCTGGGATTAATCATTCATAAGCCATTCAACTAAATTAAGAGCTTTTAATAATAGTATAAAAGAGTATATGTATTCTGCATTTGATTACTCATTTGACTGCTTTGAGAAAGGGGTAAAAAATGTTGATTTTTCTTATTTTGGATATTAGATTGAATGCTTGGCTTGAGCTATGTAAAAAGAAAACCCCTTTTTTTATACTTCGTATTTGATTTTTGGTGATTTATGCATGTGATATTGATCTAATTTTCCCGAAGTCTTCAACTTCATTTTGGCTGCAACTCTCCAGCCCTACAAAATTTCTGATGTTTTTCACATGATTTATATATTTTGCAATCATTGTGGGTATCTACAAAACTGATTATGTGAACTGTGAAGTGAAGGAATTGAAAATGATATTGTACTGCATCCCAGTGTGAAGAACTGTAAGAACCCAGTATATTGTTGGTGAAATATTAACCTTTTGCGACTGTTTGGACAACACAATAGACAAGACTTTTAACTTTTTTTTTTCTTCAGTGCTCTTGTAATGGACAAGATTGGACAATTGTAGACAAGATTTTAACTTTTTTTTGGGTTTGATACTATCTAGATTGCGTAGTCCACCTAACCAAACGCAGAATTGGTGTTTAGGAGTTAGGACTTACCAAAATATTGAAAGAAAAATGGAATGAATTGCTTTGTAGAATTGGAGGTGCACAGGTTTACTGCCGATTTAGTGCAGCTGTTTGTTTCTCTTATTATGTTTTCATTTGATAAAATGAGAAACAAAGTTCATCTGACGTTCTTTATGAATTGTGGGTTAATAGATGGAGGCTAATAGATATACATTCTTGGTGTTCATAATTCTTCAGATTAAGTCTGTTAAAGAACTAAGTGGACAAATATGCCAAATTTGTGGGGATGAAGTGGAGATGACTAGAGACGGGGAGCCCTTTGTTGCATGCAACGAATGTGCTTTCCCAGTTTGCAGGACTTGCTATGAGTATGAGAGAAGAGAGGGAAATCAGGCTTGTCCTCAGTGCAAAACCCGATACAAGCGCATCAAAGGCAAGTCCTTTTATATCATGTTCAATTCACAAGGTTGATATAAGTTAACTGTACAAGGTGAATAAACAGTTGACAGATCTCTGTGAACTGCAGGTAGTCCTAGAGTTGAGGGTGATGACGAAGAGGATGACATCGATGATTTGGAACACGAGTTTGATTATGGGGTTACTGAGGCATTGGGCCATATACAAAGTGCAGGGGTGATTCCCGGTGTGAGTGGTGGTTATGTTGGTTCATCTGGAGGCTCAAGACATGATTTGTATTCCCAGGGTCTTGAAATCTCTCTGTTGACGTATGGTGAAGAGGTAATGGAGAGGGTTCTCTCTCCCTTCCCCCCGCCTCTTCTCTTTTAAATGAACGTGTTATGCTACTTAGCATGTGAATTTGTTGTCTTCTTACTACTTTCAGGAAGATCAGATTTCTTCTGATCAACATGCTATCATATTACCGCCATTTGCCAGTCATGGTGATGTGATTCATCCATCACCTTCTGGCACATCAGCACCTAGTAAGTCATTTTGCTCCGTATAGCTTTCCTTATCCTTGATTACTTTTAAATTTGCATGCAAGGGTGATGGAATGTATTTTTGTGTCCTAGTACAATCGAGGCCTATGGTCCCTGAGAAAGATATTGCACTATATGGTTATGGAAGTGTTGCATGGAAGGATCGAATGGAGGAATGGAAGAAGAGGCAAAGTGGAAAACTTCAGGTGATCAAGCATCAAGGAGATATTGATGGTGGAGACTTGGATGGGAATGAATTGGATGCCGACTTGCCTATGTAAGTGACTCTATGCATTCTCTGTGAGCAGTTGATCTGTTTTTGTTTGGTCATCTGAGTGAAGATGCCTAATTATGTCATATATGCAAATTGTTCTTCCCATTCATGGAGAACAGCCAATAAGATGAGAAAACTAACTAAGATGTTTCTTGAACAAAAGTCCTGTCGACACTAGTACAATTGGTGATTGGCATTATTTGCTTCTTAGCTTGTTGATCAAAGGTTTTAAAACAACTTGATGGAGAGCAGGTTAGGGCAAGGTTGAAAAGTTTCCGTATAAGTGATTCAATAAGTTTAAAATAAATCAATTTATTTTTTTTCATTGTTAAGAGTTTGGAAATAAGCCCCTGTTTGGAGGACATTTTTTGGAAGAAGAAAATTAATTTTTGGACCTCTTGTTGATCACCTAGGCCCCACATGAGAGTGTACTGGTAAAAAAAAAGGGCTGCCAGCAGGTGCTAACGGTAGGAAAATGAATTTTTTTGCCCAAAAAAAGCCCTCCAAACACCCTCTGAGTTATTTATATGGAAACTAAGGTAATAGTTAATTTTAAAATACATAGCCTTTTTTATGAGTAAGAAAAAATTAACCCTTAGGCCTCATTTGACCCCCTTTTTTGTAAGAATGAGAATGAAATGTATAGCCTTTATGTGACCCACAGAAGAGATAAAAAGTCAAATATGGTGGTTTGATGTATGGATAACGGTCATATTTTTTATTTTTATGGCCAAAGAATGAGAATCAAATGGGGGCTTAATTTAGCAAAATTTATAAATAATCAAACTTCATTTTCAAATTTCAACCACACATTCCACCCACAAGTTTATCCACTTATCTCGCACTCGTTTCTATCTATTTATGAATTAAACCATTTATAAATTCTTTCCAAATGGAGGCTAAGTTATCCAAATATTAGAAACTTGACAAAATTAGCCAAACATGCTCGTAGTGGAAAAGTTGTCCAGTAAATTACAGAAACATATTGTAGTATTCTGATGAACATTGAAGCTATAGGTAACCTGATGCACGGTAACAATTGACTAATTTCTGTAGAAAATTATTCATGGGCTTACCATGTCTGCGTACTGTTGGCTGAATTTCTCAAGTAATTTTGCTAGAACATTCAGCAGATTTGCTATAAATAATTCTTGTTCCTGTATTAATCACATGAAATAAGAAGTTGGTTGAGGACACGAAAGCTTATATCGTGGGGTGTGCATAAAATGAGGTTACGCTTTTTTTGTTATCGACTTCTAGCCTTGGTCTATTTTTGGACTTTTTGGATCTGTTCACAAAACGAAAGTATGTTCCTTCTGATAGGAAAGAATACTAACCATGACACTATAATGAGATATCAATTCAACATTAATTAAATCAGTGAAAAATGTTGTGGGGTTTACAATTCATTTTTCTAACATAAATATGTCTACAATTTGAGGCATAATGTTCTTTGCTCCCACTTATGTTACATTTCCATGTATTATGGATTCCCCCTATAAAATTATTGATTCCAAGACTCGAAATCAAGATCTGCATAATGGACTATTTTGTTGCATTGTCATTTATATTATCTTGATAAAATTGATTGTATGTCTCTCTTGTTTATGCTATCATTTCCACTTGCTATTCATCTATTAGCTTGAAATATCTCAACAGGATGGATGAAGGAAGACAGCCACTATCAAGGAAATTGCCCATTGCTTCGAGCAAGATAAGCCCATACAGATTGATAATTATCCTCCGCCTTGTGGTTCTTGGCTTCTTTTTCCACTATAGGGTTCTCCATCCAGTTCATGATGCATTTGGCTTGTGGCTGACATCAGTTATTTGTGAAATATGGTTTGCTGTTTCGTGGATTTTTGATCAGTTTCCAAAATGGTATCCAATTGAGCGAGAAACATACCTTGATCGGCTGTCACTTAGGTACATAAGCTTTATGAACTCAAATCTCAAGTTCTCTAATTTCTCAAGTTGTGAACAGTGATGAGCACGTTAGGCTAAGCGTAGAAGAGTCAAACAAACCTGTAGTATATTTTTGTTTAGTATATTTTTGTTTCTGAACATGTTTTGGTTACCTTTTCTTTCCTACAAGTAAAAATTAACTGTAACATAGATTTTTGTTTCTGAGCATGTTTTGGTTACTTTTTCTTTCCTGTAAGTAAAAATTAACTTTAACATAAGGGATTAATTTTGAAACATGTAACTTGCTTAATTATTATTTTACTAACACAAAAGTCAAAATTTACTTATAGATGTTTTAAGCTTGGCGAAGCATGTTTTATATGAACTCATACCAGCAGAGCTAGGAGCGTAAGCTTCAAAAGTTAACTTAATAAGTAAATGGGTCTTAAAATCAAACATCCTCTGGGATGTAAAATTTGACTGAACCCTCTTAATTCTTTAATGAAGTCATTGCTTTTCTTGTTCAGGTACGAGAGAGAAGGAAGGCCCTCGGAGTTAGCTGACATAGACGTCTTTGTCAGCACAGTTGATCCCATGAAAGAACCTCCGTTGATTACTGCAAACACGGTTCTTTCCATTCTTGCTGTAGATTATCCGGTTGACAAAGTTGCATGTTATGTGTCAGATGATGGTGCAGCCATGCTTACATTTGAAGCACTTTCAGACACATCTGAATTTGCTCGGAAATGGGTTCCCTTCTGCAAGAAGTTTAATATTGAACCAAGGGCACCGGAATGGTATTTTTCTGAGAAGATGGACTATCTGAAAAACAAAGTCCATCCTGCCTTTGTGAGGGAAAGGCGTGCAATGAAGGTCTGTCCATCATATCTCTCTCTTAGTTTCTTGAATAAAACACACTCATCTCACACAAAGGAAGAAACATACATATCTTTCTGTGAGTTAAGAGAGAGATTATGTGCAATTTTGGCTAAGCTTAAGTTAGTTTAGGTAAATAAATAAGTTGTAAAATAAATAATTCTTTTATTGGTCGAAGCTGGAAATAAGCAAGTTATTTTCACGGTAAGAAAATAGGTACTTTCAAATTAAGGAACATTTTTTTTACTTGAATGTAAGAAAAAGTAAGGTACCCAAACATGTTAACTGCCAAACATGTTCTTCTATATGAGCTAATACTTCCTAATCTACTGGGGTTGATAACCCAGTTTGTCATGGTGCCATTTCTTTGCTCTAATACAGAGAGAATATGAAGAGTTCAAAGTTAGGATCAATCGTTTGGTGGCAACTGCACAAAAGGTTCCTGAGGAAGGTTGGACAATGCAGGACGGAACACCTTGGCCAGGAAACAATGTTCGTGATCATCCTGGAATGATCCAGGTGAGAAATGTAGTTCTCATGAACATGCCATCTGCCATTGTTTGACTCATATCTTTGCAATATGCGATTTTATTGCTTGTATCAAGACTTTTCATATCAGGACTTGGGTAATATTGTTTTGAATGTTTTGGTACTTACATTCCAGAAACAATTCCAGGATCATGTATTACAAGTTCATGTTTGGTCCAGTTACTGGGTAGGATTAGACAAAATAATAAATCAGATTTAAGCTTATTTTTCTTCCTTTGATGCATGTTGTCTAGTACTATCCAGTCCTCCCCATTGCCTCAAGAAAACTAAATTTATATAAAATATCAAAGTTAGAAAGTTGTTTGTTATACTATCTTTGATATAAGGCTTGAAAATGAAGAAATATTATTTTACGGGTAAACAATTTCCACGGACTCAAAATCTTTTCAGTAATTTTAAAGGTCCATAAAATGGCAGATTTTTTAACGATTTTGATCAATGCAGTTCTTTTTGGATCGTAGGATTGTAGGTTTATAAGACTAGAATAGGATTTTGACTACTATTATATGTATTTTACAAAAATCTAACAACTCAACTGTGTATCATTTCTTTGGTTTTTCATTTTAAGTATTATATGGAGGAAAGTTGAATGTATGACTTTATAAGTCGGTGATAGCGTGACATATTATGTTCAATTAGCAAGTATACATGGTAGTTGTGGTGTAGATAATTTTGGTTTCATGTCTAAGGTTTTCATGCTATGGCTGTATTTGTTGTTTAAATTTTCATAAATGGTTTTTTTACAGGTATTCCTTGGTCATGATGGTGTTCGTGATGTTGAAGGTAATGAATTGCCTCGTCTGGTTTATGTTTCCCGTGAAAAAAGACCTGGTTTTGAGCACCACAAAAAGGCCGGAGCCATGAATGCGCTGGTAAACCTGAGTACCAAAATTCTTTCTAAAACCCCCACCCAAAAAAACACTTACATCAGCACATCCAGAAAAATATCAAATAAATTCTAGGTTTCTTTGCTCTGAACTTTTAGGTGCGGGTTTCAGCCGTTCTATCAAATGCTCCTTTCCTTCTGAACGTCGACTGTGATCACTACATAAACAACAGCAAGGCGCTGAGAGAAGCTATGTGTTTTATGATGGATCCCACTTCAGGAAAGAAAGTATGCTATGTGCAGTTTCCTCAAAGATTTGATGGGATTGATCGCCACGATAGATACTCGAATCGAAATGTTGTGTTCTTTGATGTATGTATATTTTTTCTTGTTGCATTGGCTATATTTGCTTTTCTTACTATCATGCAGAAGTTCACTTTAACTATTTTAAACAGATCAATATGAAGGGTTTGGATGGTTTACAAGGACCAATATATGTTGGAACGGGTTGCATCTTCAGACGGCAGGCTCTGTATGGATATGATGCTCCTGTCAAGAAGAAGCCTCCTAGCAAGACCTGTAACTGCTGGCCAAAGTGGTGCTGCTCATTTTGTGGGTCTAGAAAGAACAAGAAAGGAAAAACAAAGAAAGATAAGAAGAAAATGGAAAAGCACAGAGAAGCATCAAAGCAGATATATGCACTCGAAACTATTGAAGAAGGAATTGAAGGTAAAATTTGTTCTTTTAGTAAAACTAACTGAATAAATAAGAAGGAAAAATATGGCCTGATAGATGGACAGAACTAAAGTCTAAAGTATATAATATTTCGATTACAGAGACGAATTCTGAAAACCCATCTCGTGTCTCCCAAGAAAAACTCGAGAAAAAGTTTGGTCAATCACCAGTATTTGTTGCATCGACTCTACTGGAAGACGGTGGTGTTCCTAAGGCTGCTAGTTCCACTACATTTTTGGAAGAGGCCGTTCATGTCATCAGTTGTGGTTATGAAGATAAGACTGAATGGGGAAAGGAGGTAAGTTAATTTAGTTCATGTTTCGTAAACAATACTGAAGATGAAGAGAATTGGACGTTATAATAAAGCATGATTTTAGCCTCCTCTTCTTTTTTGATATTGTTCAATACTAACCAATACTGAATGCGTGGATGGAATTTGCAGGTCCTATGGAATGTGTAGATTAAATTAATGTTTGACCATCTTATGAGCTTGAAAAAGCTTTTCCAAACATAACAATAAATTCTTATTCCCATGATGTATGTATTACCTTGTTACCTTCTGAATATTCGAATTTTGAACCAGGTCGGCTGGATATATGGCTCTGTTACAGAAGATATCTTGACAGGATTCAAGATGCATTGCCATGGCTGGCGGTCCGTGTACTGCATCCCTAAAAGGCCGGCATTCAAGGGTTCGGCTCCCATCAACCTCTCGGATCGTCTTCACCAGGTTCTTAGGTGGGCTCTTGGATCAGTCGAGATATTTTTTAGCAAACACTGTCCTATCTGGTATGGATATGGAGGTGGATTGAAGTCATTGGAAAGGTTTTCCTATATAAATTCAGTCGTATATCCCTGGACTTCTATTCCTTTGATTGTATACTGTACATTGCCAGCCATCTGCCTTCTTACAGGGAAATTTATTGTCCCGGAGGTATGCATAGAGATTTGCTACATTTTTTGTAAAAATATATATACCTACATGATTCTGCTAACTTATAATCCAATTTGCAGATAAGTAATTATGCCAGCATTATATTCATTGCCCTATTCATCTCTATTGCTGCAACTGGCATCCTTGAGATGCAGTGGGGTGGTGTTGGAATTGACGACTGGTGGAGAAACGAGCAGTTTTGGGTTATTGGAGGAGTTTCCTCGCACTTTTTTGCTCTCTTTCAAGGATTACTTAAGGTTTTGGCTGGTGTAAACACAAATTTCACTGTCACCTCAAAAGGAGGAGACGATGGAGAATTTTCCGAGCTCTACATCTTCAAATGGACATCATTGTTAATTCCACCTACAACATTGTTGATCATAAATGTAGTCGGGGTGGTGGTTGGAGTCGCAGATGCCATCAACAATGGTTATGATTCTTGGGGTCCATTGTTCGGTAAGCTTCTCTTTGCCGTGTGGGTTATTCTTCACCTCTATCCGTTCCTAAAGGGATTGTTTGGTAAGCAAGAGAAAATTCCCACAGTAATTATAATCTGGTCGATTCTGCTGGCTTCAATATTGACTTTGTTGTGGGTACGAATCAACCCATTCGTTTCACGAGATGGACCCGTACTGGAAATCTGTGGACTTAACTGCGATGACTGAGATACAGTCAGGCAGCTTACACTTACGTGGGCTAACTGCGATTTCTAGGGACATATAAGAGGTTAGATGAATAGTATACTCGAGAAATGTGTAGATATAAATAGGTGAGAACTGACTCATATTTTTTGAAATGGTTTGATCATTCTTTCGTTAAATACGTTGTTTTGATATTTTGGCGTCTGTCGAAAACTACCCTACTGTTCAGTATTCTTCTTCTTGTGGATTTGAATTTACCAGTTTCACCTATTACTTCTGAGCTTCTGTTGAGTGTGTCATCTAGTGCACTCGCAAGATTTTGTCAATGAAAAGAGACTGATTTAGCTAAGATCGAAATGGTTGGTATTAATTCGAGTATTGCACAATAACTTGACAGAGCCAAGTCTGTAAAATTTAGCTGCAAATTTTTCCTTGCCCTTCCTGTTGCCTATTTCAACAGTGGTGATGTCACTTTTATTAGCTATTTTTGATGAAATCCCACCATTTCAGCGAACTCTCTCGACCACGAAAGTGTCGTCCATTGTATAGTTTGGTTGGTGCTCGTTGTTCTTTTCGACAATTGCTCTGTGTCGAATTTGTATATCGATCTTCCTCTTGGAAAACCAGGTGTCCAAGACAATTGGACTAATCTACGAGTTTTTGATGTATGTATAATATTCATGAAGGACACAGAGAGACTAAGTTTCGTGAATTTTGTGTTGTTCCTTGTGCTACTAACCAAACAATGGAACAATCTAAGCTCATAAATTCATAATTAACTGTTTTAAAATGAGCTCAAAATGCCATAATCTAAATCAATATGAATGGATATACAAAATGTTCCAAGGTAAGTGATATTAATTTGTACTAATAATATTCATCAGGCCCCATCATTGTGTGCATTTAGCCATGGCATGACTTTACTTTTGATTTGCTTTTGGAGGAAAGCTACTTTAATTTTTATTTGGAAACTAATTTTCAAAAGAACTTCCTATTCTAGAAATGCATTTAGAGGAAACTATATTGAATCAACTTCTTTTAAAAACTCTTTTAACTACTAGAAGTACTTTAAAGATTAGCCAAACGATTTCAAAAGCAGTTTTTTTGGATTTCAAAAATTCCTTCGGACTTTTTTAAAATCATGCCAAATGGCCCTTAGTTTATTCACGAGAATTGAATCAAGCTTAATCTTATTCAGTCTTAAAGTCTGACAGCATCCCTATTTACACATTGTCGTCTCATGGACATGGTCATGTTTTGTTATACAAGTTTTTTCTATTCTCTTTTAGAATAAACCATTCTTGGTTGCACATTTTGTTAATAGGAAGAAAAATGAAATGCAACTTAAGAGGAAAGCTCTGCCTGAACTCCAACTAGAGTGTGTTTCTAGTGGTGAGTTGCTTTCATATGTATATCCATATTTACATAATCGTATATGGTATGATTACAATAGAATGGAAAGAATTAGGCAAACAAAGTGGAGGCTACAATTATGGGTCAAATTAGAATACAAATGGGAAGTCTTGAATTGAGGCTGAGGATCCTTTGGCATGATCCTTGACACCCACGCACCCCCCAAGTTGAGCGTCGAATTTAGGGGTACTTGAAGCTTGGATCGGAAGAGTTCAAATAGTGGTTTGGACACACTTTTGGTAAAGATGTCAACAACTTGCAAATGAGAGGGCACGTACTGAGTGCAAAGCTTGCCAGTGAGAACAAGTTCACGAAGAAAGTGGTAGTCTAGTTCAACATGCTTGGCCCGTCTGTGAGAAACTGGATTGGAGCTTAAGAAGATGGCGCCTTGGTTGTCACATAGGAGGAGGGGCCACTATAGAATTGAAACTTTGAGGTCGTTGAGAAGATGGGTTAGCCAAAGGAGTTTCAACGACAGTGAGAGCCAAAGCACGATACTTAGATTCACAATTGGAGCGAGAAACAATAGGTTGCTTCTTGGCACTCCAAGAAACCAATTTGCCTCCAAGATAAATAGAGTAACCAAAGGTATAACGATGAGTATCGGGGCAACCTGCCCAATTTGCATCTGAGTAAGCAACTAAAGTACCAGGAGCAGCAAATGGACGAAAGCTAAGGCCAAAGCGTAGCGTGCCTTTAACATAGGGAAGAATGTGCTTGACAGCAAGAAAGTGGTATTCTGTCGAGCAATGGATAAATTAACTGACAGAGTTTATAGCATGAGCAATATTAAGACGGATGATGGTCAGATATTGGAGACCACCGACAATAGATCTATAAAGGGTAGGATCTGAGAACAAAGACCACAACAGATAGGTTTTGGGATACAACCATAGGGTGTAAACAGGTTTGTTGTCAAGTAGCCGAGCTTGTGTAAGAATGTCTCGTGCATATTTTAGCTGACTGATGAAGAGGCCATCAGAGGTGGTAGTAGCTTCAAGACCAAGGAAGTAACTTAGAGGACCTAAATCATTAGTGGCAAACTCATAATTGAATTTCCAAGTAAAACTGGCAAGGAGAGACGAGTTGTTGCCTGTAATTATGATGTCATCTACATAGAGAAGCGGATAGATTATGTCAGTGTGCTTATGAAAATGAATAATGATGTGTTTGCACGACTGCAATAAAAACCAAGTCGTATAAGAAAGGAACTAGGGCACTGAAACCATGTACGAGGACTTGCTTTAGATCGTATAGAGCTTTCTACAGCTGATAGACATGATTAGGAAAGTGTGGGTCAATATATACCCAAGGGCTTGCTCCATATAAATATGTTCATTGGCCATTTAGGAAAGCATTTTTTACAAATAGTCGACGAAGAGGCCATTTGTTGGTCACAACAAAATAGAGGACAACACAGACCGTGGTAGCCTTGCTGATCGGGCCAAAAGTGTCAGTATAGTCAAGACCAGATACTTGTGTATAGCCTTTGTCGACAAGATGGGTTTTGAGATGCTCATAGATCCATCGGGCAAATATTTGGTCCGAAACACCTATTTGGAACCCATAATATTGGTATTGGTAAGATAAGGAACCAAAATCCATGTATTATTATTTTGCAGGGCTTGAACTTCTTTATCCATGGCAATGAGCTAAGTGGGATTCTTAGTAGTAGATTTGAATCCTTTAGGTTCAGTAGATGCAAGAAGAGTAGAAAGAAGGCCAGAGGAACCCACAAGGCCAAAATGCGTCGGGTGACGCATTTTGAAGATGCCAGCTTTGGTTTGTGTGAGCATAGGATGAGAACCAATGGAGCAGCTACAATAAGAGTGCAATCAACGATATGTAACTCAGTGATAGGCTCCGGCGGAGTGAAGAGTGTGATAGAGAGGGACCAGTTTTAGTTGCCTACAAAGGCTCATCCACTGGATCAGTACAAATAATGCAAGGAGTGGATTTAGATCACTATATGTCGAAAATGTGGTGTAAGAGAAGGCAAGGGCATGTCTGTAGGAAGGAAACTTGGTTCTAGAAAAATGTGAGATTTGGAGAGAGGATATGAGTTAGGCTTGTGAAGTATTGAGGAAGGGATAGTGATGGCAATTTGTCCCGCCCTCGCCCCGCCCCGTCGTGGTGCGTGGGACGGGGCGTAAATGATCGCCCCGTCACAGGGCGCAGGGCCAGGATGCCCCACCCCTAACCCGCCCCGTGAAGAAAAAGTAAAAAAAAAATAAAAAATAATTTTATTTCTAGACAATTCATCCTTTAAAAAATTATTTTAAATTTGTATTTTATTCTCTAATAATAACATAATTCGAAACTTTCAAAATGTAAAAAAATAAATAATAATAATAATAACAATAAATAAAAAAAATTAAACGGGGCAAAAAGTTGCCCCGCCCCGCCCCGTCTAAGGCGGGGCGGGGGGCTGAACCCGCCCTGTTGCCATCACTAGGAAGGGAAAGTGGTTTTCATCAAATTGGGCATGGCAGGTGATATGGAATTTGGAGGTTGTGTGGCTAAGACAACGAAAACTTTTATAAGATGAATTATAACCTATAAAAATGCAAGGGATGCTACAAGGGGAGAACTTGTTAGTCATGTAGTCACGTAAACAAGGATAAACACGACAACCAAATGGATGAAATTTTTCATAATTGGGATAGAAACTATATAAAAGCTCAAAAGGCGACTTACCACCGAGAAGTTGTGTGGGCAAACGGTTGATGATGTAAGCCACAATGCTAAAAGTGTCAACCCAAAAATGAGTGGAAACATGAGAATGGAAAAGAGGGCTAGACCTATTTCAGTCACATCATGGTGTTTTCGTTCGAAGCGACCATTTTGTGCGGGAATATAAGGACAAGAGAGTTGATGATGAATATCGGAGGTACTAAGATGTGCTTTAAAGCGGTTGCTAGTAAATTATGCACCACCGTCAGTTTGAACATTTTTTGATATGAGCGGAATGTTGATTTTCCACAAATTTTTGAAATTGAATAAGGTATTAAAGAAGTCAAATTTCAATTTTAATGGGTAAAGTCAAGTGAAGCGAGAATAATCGTCAATAAATAAAACATAGTATACGAAACCAGAATTTGACTTTACAGGAGATGGGCCCCATAGATCGCAATGAATAAGTTCTAGTACCTTTGAAGATCGATGTTTATTACGAGAATAGGGCGGACGATGATTATTTGCTATTTGACATGTACTACATAATGCGGGGGATGGCAATAAAGAAGAAAGATGAAGCTGTCCTTTTTTATTCAGAAAAGAAATAAAAAAATGATTTACATGTCTAAGGCGAGAATGCTATAAATCATATGAAGCAAGAAGAGATTTATTTTTTTAGGATAGAAAGAAAAGTCGAATTTCTACATTCTAGCACATATAGTCGACCATCTCCATCTCATTTACTGGTCGCCAACACTCTTCCCATTTGGCGATTTTGAATAGTGAAAAAATTATTAGTGAACTTAATAGATAATGAAAAGTCATCCGTTAATCTAATAATTGACAAAAGATTTTTAGGATGTGAGGAATGACCAAAACATCTAACAGCTGAAAATCAGGAGAATGGGAAATTTACCAGTATGGGTAATGGGTAGGGACGCACCATTTTCGACAATAACACAATCCTTACCCATATAAGAAGTGGACTGATCCAAGAGGGTTTGGGCTGAGGCCCCTGTGTCTAAAAACTAATTCGAGGCCTTGTTTCAAAAAGGGAACATGGAGAATTGAGGGCTTCTGCAAGTTGAGCCTCACGGGTATGACCAAGGCTTTCATACCGTTTTTGGCACCAGTCTGCATAGTGACCATCTGCGCGACAAATTTGATAGCGCGGGGGTCGTCTGCGGGAGAAACGTCCCTGTCCTTGTCCGTGATCGACAGTCTGACTGTGATTGTTGTGATAAGAAGAGCTTCGCTGATTAAACTTCACAGGGTTGCGATTGGTGGCTTGAACACCGCAGGGGATGGTGTAGCCAGCTCTAGGGATTTTTGAAAGAGCTCAAAGCTCTCTACCTTTGGCATAAGATCTGAAAAACATGTCAAAGGGGTGAGGGCCATTTGGGCCTGGAGAAGATTGAGAATTTCGAGCCAAGACCTCGAAGAAATCAGTGCACTTTGTCAGTGCCATCAACGGGTCATCCGATGACATGGAGTTGATCGCAGAGGACCTTGAAGGCGCGGGAGTATTCCGAAACAGATCTGGTGCCTAGTTTCATCAGTTGCAAATCATCCTTGAGACGAATTTCAGGGGCTTTGAAGTGGTGGCTGAAGGTGTTCTCTAAGGCAACTCACAATTCACTTGAAGTAGAGAGTCCCAAACTTCCACCTTGGCCTCCACGGTGAGGGAGGACCACAGAAGGCTGAGGAGGCATTGATCGATTTGTTTCCATGGCACATGTTTGATATTTGGTGTCTAAGAATTTTCAGGGGCAAAACGGGGTGGGGTTTCTATAGTTCCATCCACATAGCCGATCAGTTCTTGGCTCTCTAAAATGGGAAGCAAATGGCTCTACCATAGGAGATAGTTGGAAGAGGATAGTTTGATTGTAACCATGTGGATGAGGGTATTGAAAGGGAGAATATTGGGGGAGGGTTTGACAGCCATGGGAAGGAAGGCAGGATCATGTGAGGGAGGTTAATCCGTAGAGGGCTCGGATACCAAAAGAGTGTTTAGAAAATCACCACACTTTCTAGTGGTGAGTTGCTTTCATATTTATATCTATATCTACATAATCGTATATGGTATGATTACGATAGAATGGAAACAATACAATTGGCTCTACCATAGGAGATAGTTGGAAGAGGATAGTTTGATTGTAACCATGTGGATGAGGGTATTGAAAGGGAGAATATTGGGGGAGGGTTTGACAGCCATGGGAAGGAAGGCAGGATCATGTGAGGGAGGTTAATCCGTAGAGGGTTCGGATACCAAAAGAGTGTTTAGAAAATCACCACACTTTCTAGTGGTGAGTTGCTTTCATATTTATATCTATATCTATATCTACATAATCGTATATGGTATGATTACGATAGAATGGGAACAATACAATTGAATGGAAAGAATTAAGGAAACAAGGAAGAGGCTTCAATTATGGGTTAAATGAGAATACAAATGGGAAGTCTTTTTTTCAATAAACATTTATTGTTTTTCCTCATCTTTTATTTAATATACATTTTTCTTATTTGCAAATGGCTCTTTTATTTTAAAAAATTAAAATAAAGAGCGTGTTGAGGGATTTATTTCAGCATTCACTCTTTAAAATACAATGCATATCACTTTTGAATAGTTCATTGGAGATGCTCTAACAAGGTTAATTATTTGGAAAGTTAAAGTTTAAGAATAAGTTAAAATTATGTTTGATTTTGTATCACACGACGTAGACTGGAACACCCTCTAACATAGTCAAAGGTTCTAACGTTGAAGACAAAGACCATTTTATTAAAAATTCAACAGACGGAGTCAATGTCGTGCTATCATAAATCCAAAGTAAGAGAATTTTTATTCAATAAATTCTTTCTTTATATATCTGCGTTCAAATTACTGTTTTTACGCAGTCTGTGTAATGATTTACAACTTCCTGCAATCTTCCTTGCACCAACACTGCTGTTTCTCTCTCAAAGCTATATAAATACACACGAAGAACAGAGAAAGAGAGAGAGGTTGCATTTTCAATGTCTCATTCTAGACCTAAAACTGAATGTGAAAAGGGCTTGCCGGAGTTGGATATTCCGGCATCCGTATTACAGCAGATCATAATCCAGATATTCGGAGATGACGATGAGAGCAAAGATGTAAATGATGGAGGCGTTCTTGATGAGGGCCAATACTGTAAAATCACATCCTCATCATCCCGGAAAATCTTGCCGGATTTGGAGAGTTGCAAGCCAAAGAAGAAACGGCGGTATCGGAGTATCAACAACCTCTACTTGGCTACCAAGCCAATGAAACGTTTTGGGTTGCAAATTTATAAAGAATAATGGTAGTGGTGGATCCTACAAAAGACGTTATTTTAAATCAATAGGATAATAATGTTACGATTGTGCTGTGTACATGGACATAATGATTTACGTGATGGTTTATATACACGTGATGTGGTGAAATATGATTGGATCATAATTCCTTTAAAAAAAAAAAAAAAACCACAGCACCTACTCCACTCTCTTTTTGACACCACATTTATATGTAAACCATTATGTAATTCTATTATGTACAAATAACATTATTTTTAATGTTAATTTTCTTACTTTTCGAATGAGAATTTTAGTGTGTTCATTTTGTTTGTTTCATGAGTAGGACGAAATGCCAAAAGAAAGCAAATCGAAGAAGGAAGGACGGCGTAAGAGTATCAATAACCTCTACTTGGCTACCAAACCAATGAAACGTTTTAGGTTGCATATTTATAAAGAATGATGTTAGTAAGAGAAATAATAGTGGATTCTATGAAAGAAGCGATTCTAGATCAATAAGGTAATGTTGTAAGTCATATAAAATTTGTAATTAAAATTAATTAAGCCATATTATTTTTGAAGAATGTGTGTTGAAATAGTAAATTGATGAAGAATGTGTAGTTAAAAAGAAAAAGAAAAAAAATTGTTCTGCACGAAACATTATTTTAATGAAGAATATGTGATTGAAAAAAAAAAAAATCAAAAAAATGCATTTTAAGTAAAATGGTAATCGATCACCCCCTTAATTATTATTAAAATTTTAAGCTACACCAAACAGGAGCTAAGGTGAAGCACTCACTGAAGTCCAATCACTCATCCACCTGAATAAATAAGATAGGAAAAAACCTAATTTACCCTCTAAACGTATAGATCGAATCATCGAAGTTGTGTAAATAGTAACGTTATTATCTTTTTTTATGAGCTGCATATATACTACTGAGTATGAATTTGCCGAAATTTTACTACGAATGAAGAGGAAACTCGTGTGAATACTGATGGTATAAAATGGGCCAAATCTATTCGACCCGTATTTTACTTCCTATAGGACATTATACAGGTAAATACGAGACTTTAGTTTAGACTAAAAAGTACGAAACCTTTATCACGATATATTTGTTCTCTGACTATTTCTCTTGGCTTACAATTGGGACTCGGTACATGTTTGATAGGTATTTTGATATTTTGACCGTTAGAGATGAAGTGAATCTCACCTGTTTGAGAAAAATTCAAAAATGACGCGGTATCGGAGTATCAACAACCTCTACTTGGCTACCAAGCCAATGAAACGTTTTGGGTTGCAAATTTATAAAGAATAATGGTAGCGGTGAATCCTACAAAAGACGTTATTTTAAATCAATAGGATAATAATGTTACGATTGTGCTGTGTACATGGACATAATGATTTACGTACTGGTTTATATACACGTGATGTGGTGAAATATGATTGGATCATAATTCTTTCAACCAAAAAAAAAAAGACCTTCTCCACTCCCTTTTTGACACCACATTTATATGTAAACCATTATGTAATTCTATTATGTACAAATAACATTATTTTTAATGTTAATTTTCTTGCTTTTCGAATGAGAATTTTAGTGAGTGCATTTTGTTTGTTTCATGAGTAGGACGAAATGCCAAAAGAAAGCAAATCGAAGAAGGAAGGACGGCGTAAGAGTATCAATAACCTCTACTTGGCTACCAAACCAATGAAACGTTTTAGGTTGCAAATTTATAAAGAACGATGTTAGTAAGAGAAATAATAGTGGATTCTATGAAAGACGCGATTATAGATCAATAAGGTAATGTTAATTTTCTTGCTTTTCAAATGAAAATTTTAGCATGTTCGTTTTGTTTGTTTCATGAGTAGGACGAATAAGTGTATAAATGGGGATTAGGATGAAATGCCAAAATAATGCAAGCCGAAAAAGAAACGACGATCTCGGAATATCAATAACCTATACTTGGCTACCAAGCCAATGAAATCATTTAGGTTGCAATAAAGAATAATGTTAGTAAGAGAAATAATAGTGAATCCTACAAAGACGTAATTTTCAATCAACAAGAGATTAATGTTAATTTTATTGCTTTTCAAATGGGAATTTTAGTCGACTCATTTTGTTTGTTTCATGAGTAAGATGAAATGCCAAAAGAATCAAAACCTAGCTGATTCTTTCCCAAACACATTAATCCCTTCTTTTGTATAACTATAAAAATTAGATGTTAGATAAAAATTGATATGTACAGTTAAAAAGTTGAGTCATATAAAATATGTAATTAAAATTATTAAGCCACATTATTTTTGAAGAATGTATGTTGAAATAGCAAATTGATGAAGAATGTGTAGTTAAAAAATAAGAAAAAAAAATTATTTTGCATGTAATATTATTTTAATAAAGAATATGTTGTTGAACAAAATAAAAAAAAAAAGATAGAAAAAAAATGCATTTTAAGAAAAATGGTGATCAATCTCCCCCCTTAAATTTTTATCAAAATTTTAAGCTACACCAAACAAGAGCTAAGGTGAAGCACTCACTGAAGTCCAATCAGTCATCCACCTGAATAAATAAGATACGAAAAAACCTAATTTACCCTCTAAACATATAGATCGAATCATCGAAGTTGTGTAAATAGTAACGTTATTATCTTTTTTTATGAGTTGCATAGATACTTCTGAGTATGAATTTGCCAAAATTTTACTACGAATGAAGAGGAAACTCGTATGAATACTGATGGGATAAAATGGGTCAAATCTATTCGCCCCGTATTTTACTTCCTGTAGGCCATTATACAGGTAAATACGAGACTTTAGTTTAGACTAAAAAGTACGAAACCTTTATCACGATATATTTGTTCTGACTATTTCTCTTGGCTTACAATTGGGACTCGGTACATGTTTGATAGGTATTTTGATATTTTGACCATTAGAGATGAAGTGAATCTCACCTGTTTGAGAAAAATTCAAAAATGACAATCATAATAGTGAAATAACAACTAAAAAATTGATTTTAATTAACTTTTTAGCTGTACCAAACAAGCTCTCAAGATGAGAACCAGATATATCCACAAATTGAAGTTGACACTGTTATAATGGAATACAAGGTGTTGATCAAACCTCAACAGGTCAGATTTGAGCCAAAACCGAACCAAACCGACTTAGTCGGTTTAAGCATTTTCTGAAATGAATCAAACCAGCTAGGTAACTGAAACCGACCCAAGAGAACCGATTCGGGTTGGGTCGGGTGGCCGGTTAAATAAATTCACAAATCCAAGCAGATGCTAAGGAGGAGGTACCCATCTGGACACCAATACATGGATCTCCACCATGCAGAGTGCCGCCAGCGGAAGGCTTTACAAGGACAACAAAGTACGACTCAGATGGGAACCTACGAGTTTTATATGTCCTTATGTAGATCTAGGTGTGAAAGCCCCCTCTTACCTCAAGAAATACAACTGAACGAAACAAAGAAATCGGCATAATAGAAAAGTTGGCGATATTTATCTTCTTTACATTAATAAGGAACGAGAAAGTATTACAAAGATATAATTCCATTTTCGCGAGAATATCATAAGTCTGATAACATAAGCATGACTTAATTAGGTAAAAATAATCCACTTAAAACTCTGTAATCCAAATATTTCACGAAATTACATAAGCCAGATGGTCCAGAAAACACTTACAAAACACCTGAAATATAAATTCAATGTTACTTGTACATGGATTCTATCACTGCGTCAAAGATTAAATTAAACATAAAAATCCATACCACATAGTAGCACCATCTGATGTTTCATGACTGATCAGCAGTAGATTGTTCTAGTAGCAGCTTTAAATTTAGCATCGTATTCATATGGTTGCTGCAGAAATAAAGACAATTTCTCATCCATAAATGACAAAAAAAAATATAAATAAATATATCTATGGTAATAAAACAACTGCAAAATGAGCAAATATTGCTGTTAATTGATAATACAACAAAGAAATGGACAGTTAGAAGTGTAGCCTTTTTAACCTGAGATATTTTGTCCGCTACACTAGACTGGATGACCGATTTTCAAACAATGAAACGTCTAAATTAACTTAAATACAGCCACAATGAAATCAAATGCACATCTCTGCATCAAGTTGAGCCGTTCCAAACAAGCCATGAAGTGATCTTCACAAATGCAACTTGCAGTAAAGAACTGATTTTTTTATTTATTCATCTTTTTTTTGGTGCCACATGCAAAGTCAATTTCTGAAAAACTAGCTTCCACTCTTTTCTTCTTTTCTCCATGAAAATCAGTTTTCACAGTGAGGTTTTTATCACAAAAGCCACTCTCCAAAACAAAAGTCGATCACCTAACACAAGCTTCATTTGCATTCACATGACTACTGAATTATTACAAATTTAGTCCGAAGTAAGCTTCGAGCTAAGGTGAAGCACTCACTGAAGTCCAATCACTCATCCACCTGAATAAATAAGATAGGAAAAAACCTAATTTACCCTCTAAACATATAGATCGAATCATCGAAGTTGTGTAAATAGTAACGTTATTATCTTTTTTTATGAGCTGCATATATACTACTGAGTATGAATTTGCCGAAATTTTACTACGAATGAAGAGGAAACTCGTGTGAATACTGATGGTATAAAATGGGCCAAATCTATTCGACCCGTATTTTACTTCCTATAGGACATTATACAGGTAAATACGAGACTTTAGTTTAGACTAAAAAGTACGAAACCTTTATCACGATATATTTGTTCTGACTATTTCTCTTGGCTTACAATTGGGACTCGGTACATGTTTGATAGGTATTTTGATATTTTGACCGTTAGAGATGAAGTGAATCTCACCTGTTTGAGAAAAATTCAAAAATGACAATCATAATAGTGAAATAACAACTAAAAAATTGATTTTAATTAACTTTTTAGCTGTACCAAACAAGCTCTCAAGATGAGAACCAGATATATCCACAAATTGAAGTTGACACTGTTATAATGGAATACAAGGTGTTGATCAAACCTCAACAGGTCAGATTTGAGCCAAAACCGAACCAAACCGACTTAGTCGGTTTAAGCATTTTCTGAAATGAATCAAACCAGCTAGGTAACTGAAACCGACCCAAGAGAACCGATTCGGGTTGGGTCGGGTGGCCGGTTAAATAAATTCACAAATCCAAGCAGATGCTAAGGAGGAGGTACCCATCTGGACACCAATACATGGATCTCCACCATGCAGAGTGCCGCCAGCGGAAGGCTTTACAAGGACAACAAAGTACGACTCAGATGGGAACCTACGAGTTTTATATGTCCTTATGTAGATCTAGGTGTGAAAGCCCCCTCTTACCTCAAGAAATACAACTGAACGAAACAAAGAAATCGGCATAATAGAAAAGTTGGCGATATTTATCTTCTTTACATTAATAAGGAACGAGAAAGTATTACAAAGATATAATTCCATTTTCGCGAGAATATCATAAGTCTGATAACATAAGCATGACTTAATTAGGTAAAAATAATCCACTTAAAACTCTGTAATCCAAATATTTCACGAAATTACATAAGCCAGATGGTCCAGAAAACACTTACAAAACACCTGAAATATAAATTCAATGTTACTTGTACATGGATTCTATCACTGCGTCAAAGATTAAATTAAACATAAAAATCCATACCACATAGTAGCACCATCTGATGTTTCATGACTGATCAGCAGTAGATTGTTCAAGTAGTAGCTTTAAATTTAGCATCGTATTCATATGGTTGCTGCAGAAATAAAGACAATTTCTCATTCATAAATGACAAAAAAAAATATAAATAAATATATCTATGGTAATAAAACAACTGCAAAATGAGCAAATATTGCTGTTAATTGATAATACAACAAAGAAATGGACAGTTAGAAGTGTAGCCTTTTTAACCTGAGATATTTTGTCCGCTACACTAGACTGGATGACCGATTTTCAAACAATGAAACGTCTAAATTAACTTAAATACAGCCACAATGAAATCAAATGCACATCTCTGCATCAAGTTGAGCCGTTCCAAACAAGCCATGAAGTGATCTTCACAAATGCAACTTGCAGTAAAGAACTGATTTTTTTATTTATTCATCTTTTTTTTGGTGCCACATGCAAAGTCAATTTCTGAAAAACTAGCTTCCACTCTTTTCTTCTTTTCTCCATGAAAATCAGTTTTCACAGTGAGGTTTTTATCACAAAAGCCACTCTCCAAAACAAAAGTCGATCACCTAACACAAGCTTCATTTGCATTCACATGACTACTGAATTATTACAAATTTAGTCCGAAGTAAGCTTCACTACAAACAAAAACTAATAAATAACTTTACAAAACAATACTCGTACTACGTAGAAACTTAACTCCAAAGCTTATAAATAAACCACATTTCCCCCAGTTGCCTTGCCATAATTTCTAGTAGGATCAAGGCAATGTCTGGGAAGAGAAAACAAAATGCAGAAAATAAATTTAAAATGGGGAAAAAAAAAAATAGAGGAAACAATAAGGTAGGTACGAGCTAATTTCAAAGAATTTTTAATTCATCATATAATTATAGGACATGGAAGAGTTTTTAAAGTGTGTAACCATAGGGACCTCATGGTGGTTACCCCTTGCAAAGATTCTTGAAAGATCAAACTAGTATAGGTATTTTGGCACTACTGCGAAATAAAAGGAAATTAATTTCAAGTTCCCACAAGTCAGTTGCAACTAAGAGGAGACATTATTCTAGCTCTAGACTCTTCCCTGGGGTGGGGTCGGGTGAGAGTGGGGGTGGGGGTGGGTATGGCTGATAGCGTTAAAACTATAGAACTGTGCCACATTGCCAGAATCATTTGCCCACTCCCTTGACAGAATGCCACACATGGCATTCTGTAATTGGACTATGTAAAAAAAGTCAATTTTTGTACCCCAATCATCTACTGTCAACACTGCATTTGTCAAGTGTGGGCAAAAAATTCTGTTAAAATGGCTTATTCCTAAAGTATATTACCAAGAATATGGCTGAGATCAATCTACGAGCAAACCATCTTTTATGCATTGCTTGTTGAGCACGTGATGCTGCTTCGACACTTTCAAACCTCAAGTATACATAACCAGCACTATTCCTGCAACAGAAAATTACTATTAGAAATCTTCCAGGAGTTCACCAAGTGTAATTCAGAGAGTAAATTTATATTCAGCTTTTCTTTTTTTACCTGTCATAGCCAATAAGCACAACTGACCTTATTACAAATATAAGCATAAACTTGACAAGATACAAATTATAGGATCGGATTTTTGTTCCTCTCTTTCAAGGGGAGAACTCATGGTTGTATTCAAAACTATCATGCTATCAAGGTATCAATATACCATTATCTTCATATAATATACAAATAAAAATAGATAAAAACATTATATACGAACTTACTTGTCCACAAATATATGTTTCACCCGCCCATACTTAGAACATTCGTCGTGCACATCATCTCTAATGTCCAAATCAAACTCTGGATCCTCCTGCCAAATCATATTCAAGCATAAATGGGAAAATGTAAACAAAACTTTCCTCAATTAGTACGCATCAACAACAGAAATAAAACAAACCTCGGCGGTTGGATCAAACATATTCTTCAATAGTAAACACTCGCTGGGGTTCCCAATAGGTTCGGGGGCCATAGAAACAACTGGGGTTGGAAGAACTGGAGTAGGAAGCACCGTCGCTGGATTCAGGGGCAAGCTTATTGCTGCTTGTGATGTAGCGGACCCATTGCGCCCAGGCACTCCTCCAAGGGGCCCCACAACACTGAAAGAAAAATGGAAAATCAAGCCTGAGTTGACAGTCAAGAATAAAGGAAGAAATGAATACAATTTAATCCCATGTACAAACCTCGAAGCAATACCACTGCGATCCAGCTTCTGCATAAGCAAAGCTCTTGACTGAGCATTCAAAGCCTGTGGAAATCATAAAACAATGAACTAATGAGAACTTAAGAAGAAACAGAAAACACAGCACTGATTATGAATACTCAACCATTTGATTTGGGGTTTCTATATCTGAGATTTCAGGATTGTGATTGAAAGCTGTAACAACAAAAAAGCAGTCATCATACTTCCCCAAGCTTCAGCTTTGACGAGGTCATCTTAAATGATTTTTGCAGACCAATTATTTCCAAATCATTTATGCAAAAAATGAATTCTCCGTGCAAGTCCAAAGTTTGGACACTAATCCTTGTGCATGAAATACAATAGTGGAGCCTCATTTACACCCCTAGCACCACAAGAAAATAAAAATAGCAAGCCTCAAATTTTAAAATGCATTGTTTTCCATGCTATTCATCATATGCATTAAAGTTCCCCAATAATAAAGAGCTGTAAATGATATCAACAGAAAGTCAATATCGAATCAGGAGACAAGCACACAAACATAAGCACACGTTCGAACACTCTGCCAATCCACTTAAGAAACAACAACCAGTAGCACTTGAACATATGTGACCTATTCCACCAGATGGGGTAAAAGATATTTCCAACAGCTTTCCACGGACAGAATACGCCTGTCTAGGATGGCAATAGGTTCTCTTAATTGCATGGTCTACTTGTTATATTGAAAATATCATCATCTTTCAAGAACAGTCATTTAGTTATATATGATTTTGCAAAAGCACATTAATGCCAAGATCAATGTTATCTAAAAACGCCCTATCCCAAGGTTACCACATTTTCACATCAAGCGACTGCACTCTAGTTCTCCTCCTTGGAAACATAAGAGCAGTCCATACCCTCAGTGAATAGCCTTAGACTGCTGCAGTAACTTACACTCTAAGCTGACTTCTGAGATATACAACATGAAAATATGGAACAAGGAGGCAATGCAGCTGCTCATCAAGCAACTTCCAGTACAAAATTAATATTTATTAACAAATTGAGCAAAGAAGTATGACTCAAAACATAACTGTACTGTCAGCTTGCAGTATTGTAAAATCACTTCATAACCAATTAGAAACAATAAATGAATTACATCTTCACTACAACATGATCAATTTAATGACACCTAAATTCAGTTTTGAAGATTTAACTTACCAAACCACCCCCATCGTCATCATCAAAATCTGCAGTTTTTGCACCTGCATCTTGAACTCCAACATGATCCGTAACAGAGGAAACCTGAGTTGAATTCAAAACATAAAGAGGTGAGTCAGGAAACAAACTGTAACGTGAAATTGCCTTGGAGAGATGAGAAGAAAAGAGGATGTTACATTATGAGAACATGTTAAGAATATGTAGATATTCACAATATCAACATGGAAAGTTTAGTGATATGAGCCTAATACCTTGATTGTCCGACCAGCAATTTCTAGTTTCCCATTCAAGCTTTGTGCTGCCTTTGCATGTTCAAGTTGTGCAAACTGCAATGTTGTATCAATAAAATCCATGTTAGAACACAAGGTGAAAACATCAAAATCCTAGTTATTGCAAAACACTTTTCAACACAATCAACTTCCACAAAATACTGACCTGAACAAACCCGAAACCTTTGCAATGTCCTGTCTCTGGATCCGTGGGTAGTTGCACAAGCTCAACAGGCCCAAATGCTTCAAAAATCTAGGGAGGGAAAAAAAACATTAAGAGACACATAACTAAAACAGAAAAATATGAACACGACTGTAATAATGGAAACTCGTAATTTGTAGGTAACCGCAAACAAGAAAATGATAGGTTCCCAGATAGATGATTTTCACAAACAGCACACTGACGCTGAAATAACTAAAAGACTAGTCATGTGTAACACCAGTTGCTAAATGAAGGTGACCAAATAAGAAAAATCAGAGCAAGTACAAAGACATATGGTCAGCCTGTTATTAATTCACAAATAAGCCCCTGTTTGGACCCCATTTTTTCAAATTAAAATGAGGGGAATAGTATTTTTTTTGGAGAATGAGTGGTTGAAAAACATGGAAAAATTTTCGTTTACGGATAATATTATTTTATGGAAGATTGTGTAATTGAAAATAGGAGAGAAAGAAATGAAATTTAATTTAATGGGAGCCAAACGGGAGCTAACAAATAACAAACATTGCCTGTCCGTATATCCTAAGATAAACCGTTTCTAACAACTATCGGTTCTCAGATATGGGTCCCCTGGATCAAGTGTATGTTAATTCTTTATCGTGACCAATGAAATACTAAATTTATATTAGTACTTATCATTTGGGAATGATTCTTATTTAGACACCAAGGATGTAGAAGTTACATTAAGGTTGACAAATGTGTCCATTTCCAAACCTTCACATTGGCGGTCTTGTTAAATTTGGAGTAATTAACAGCAGAAATGGAAGGCATGCTAAATGAAATGACAATATCAAACCATTTACCTGTTTAAGCTGAAATTCTGTCATGTTGAAGTGTAAATTGCCAACATACAACTTCCTATCAGTTGCACCATATGGTCCCACAACACCTGAACCACCGGTAGAAGTATTCGATTGGACAAGATTTTTTTCAGCCTCCGAAGGTTTAACCATTACTGGTTGTCCAAGAAGTAGGTGACCAGAAAGGGCTATAGCCATTGGCACAGACAAGGCATCATAAAATTCGATATACCTAATATCAAAATATGCGCTTGCACATTAATTACATTAAACATAAGACAAGGAGACATAATGTGAGCTATATGGCAATATGATAGCACATAAGTCTGTATAAAACTGGTCTGGATGAAAAGGCAATAAAATCCTGGTCAAAAAGCACAAACTGGTCAATGCAATCACCAATTACCTTTCCTTAATAATCTGTGTAAGCTCTTTAAATCATGTTGGTTATATATCTCCACTGCTGCTATATAATTTAATGTGTTGCCTATATTTTATACTTATGCTTCATAGTAAAATAACGAAATTAGTTGATAACATAACCAATTTAGCAACTCCAAAAACTTGGTGCAGTCACCACCAAACCAGACACATTCAGAATGAAATCTAGTTCCAAAGCCATTGACATTAGCAAGTAGTTGTTGACTGTGGGAGTGCACATTCCAAAGGCTAAAAGCTAAAGCGGTATTGAGCTAGTATCACCTCAAAATGAACAAACAGACCCTCAAATCACAACTTTCCTACTTCAAACAGATCAAACCATCATTTAGAAAGGTAGGTATGGAAACAGTTAAAAATGGTAACAGGCCCAAAAATCTTAAAATTTCATATCTGATGACCTTGATGTCAAAGAATCAAAAGAATCAACAAGGTTGTATAGTTTCTTCTAATGAAGGCTTCCGTTGACCCAAAAAAAAAGAAAAAACTTTAATGTCATGGGCCAAATAAAGGGCCTGTTCGGTAGTGATAATGAGAATTGATTTTTTGACCGTTAGAGAGAAAAGTAGGTCCCACCTGTGAGTGAAGAAGTCAAAAATGACAGTTAGAATAGTGAAGTGAAGTAACAGTCAAAAAATCGATTTTTTGGGGTGAAAAATTGCTACCAAATGGGGGCAAAATAACATCAGACTCTCCACCTTCAATCTTTAGCCAAGACCTCACGTCATATCCACAATTTAAAGAAACCTGACAAAGATCCCAAGTAAAGATAATTTCCTCTCACCATCTACAAGTTACAATGTGCCGAAAGGAAGAAAACAAAAAACATTACTGAGTGAAGTGTTACACAAAGCTGTAGTCCATGCATTAATAAATAGAAATTACAATCACCACAGCAGTACACTAACAGGGGAATACAGCTCATAATCGAGAATGAGCAGCACTAAATGGTGAACAAAGTAACATCAAACTTATAAAAGATAATTCTTATGTCACAGCAGAATTGATACTTAATGCAGCAATGGGACATCAATACATTGACATTTAAAGTGTGGAATAGAAAATTGATACATCTGTATAAGCATAGGATTACATACCCAACCCCTTTTGATCTCCTTGAGTTCCGGTCCATAATCAGCCGAACATCCCTTACCTGGATACAGAAAATGGGAAAGTTAATAAAAATAAATAAAGTTAAGTTTCAGGAGCAAATGAATTCAGAACCATCCCATGCCTCCAACCACTATTCAACGTGTGCAGTCGATGCCACGGGGTAACAAGTGAACCCATTCAAGCAATTTATAGTCAATACATGTAGTGCTGATGCACGAGAAAGCATTTACACTAATTTTAACTGAAGCAGAGGTGCATTTACAACAATAGGAACGAGATGCATTTTGATAAGAACGCTATAATTAGAAAAGTGACAACTCACATTTTATCAATTAATTAATAATAATCAGTAAATTTTGTACAGAAGACTATCCATTTCATGACAATAGGAAGGAGACACATACATGTAGAATGTTAATACACGAGAGAGCATTTACACTAATTGCAACTGAAGCAGATGTGCATTTACAACAATATCAAGGAGATGCATTTTCATAAATAAATTTTGCATAGCAGAATATGCATTCTACAGTGATACAGTAATTATGTGCCTCTAAATGATTATGCACTTGCACGCAATAAACAAAAGATGGCATGTTAAACACTTAGCAAACAAATTTAAAATCCTCACATACCTTTCCTGCTTGTGAAAAGAACTCATAAACATCCCTCTCAGTGGCCTTAAGTGGCATCTGCATAAAAAGGAAAAAGAGGAAATAGATAGTCATTGAGCTGATTTAAAAACATTAGTTATTTTATTCCAGATGTAATACCAATGGTGGAAAAACAGACCTGATATGCGAAAATAGTTCTCTGATCCCTTTCTGGATCAGCTTCGGGCTCTACCGCTTCTTTCTTTTCCTTGAATCTTCTGCATTATTGACTCTAAGAAAATGAGTATATATCCAATAGTACGAACATATCAATATTAACGTACATGAAGCCTTTGTTCGCCTTCTGGAAGTGCACATAATCCCAAACCCTTGTTCATATTCGCCCCCAAGGTATGTATTTTCACCCTCACAAACTCAAAGTTGGCAGCCATCCTTTGCATGAATTCCACTTTTACAAGGCTAAAACCTAGACCAGAAAATTAGTTTTTACACAAAGTGACAAGGAAACCAACCTAGTAGATAATTTTTCCACGTCATAACTAGGTTATATCAGGAGGCATAAAGGAGACAATAATCTAATCATTTTGCCAAGCCCAGCTTGAGACACTCGTACACTGGCAAAAGGATAATTATAAGAACAGTGAAGAAGAAATGTTGATAATTAGATCATTGATACATTGAAAATAAATGTTTGTAAAACATGTCCAGAGTCTTGCTCAATTTTGCAGCCAGGAAACGATTTTGAGAAAATAATCTTATGTCCATCGCATCTAAAGAGAAAAAGGAAAAAAGAAGGGAAGTCTACAAGTTTTTTCCTTAAATTCACGAAGCATCATCTATTATCATGTGTTATGAGATTCAACACTATACATAGCATATATTCATAATTTGTTATATTTGGGCCAGTTCCAAATAGTGAAATTTACTATTTATAATCCCTGTTCAGAGCAAAGGGAGGCCACAAATATGGAGCTAAAGCATTTTCATCTGCGAAGTGAAGAAAAGGTTGAAAACTGATACAGCTTCACCACAGGCATTGCCGACCTAAAAATTCAACACACCAGTGGTCAACATCTCAGCTCATAGGTAAGAAAGTAACCTTAAATCTAGCTATGCAAAACATTAGCAGGATGGAAGATTACGCCAATTCTAAAAGCCCAAATAAAGAAACTTAACAGACCTTATCAAACTCAATATGTGGAAAAGCCATTTTCTTCAATGAAGAAGCCTTCAAGGGTTTCCGCATTGTTAGCCCATTAAGATGTGCAAATAATCCATCTACGATTTCAATACAAGTTAGAATATTGTATCCTCTATGCATAAACTCACACTTTTTTTCTGCAGTCAGACCATTTTATACATTTCCTTCATGTTTCAATCCCACAGCATGGGCTACGGGGAGAAAAATAATATTTAACAAAAATTTAAGAGATCATTTTAACTATTTTTGCCTTTGAAAACCATTTACAGCTACTGACAGAAAAAATATACAGCGAACATGTGCAAGCTAACAAACTAAATTCAATTACCAGGAGGACTAATAGTTGAGAATTGATACAAATATTCTTAATTGTTTATAATATTATGAAACCTATGCAAATTTCTTAAAGGCAACTATGTGGATGAAATAAAAAAATGTGTAGATTTGAGTTCAAGGCAAAACCTCTACAAGAATTCAAAATTGAAGTTTTCACCTCATTATAGACAAAATTCGAGGAAACGAAAAGGGAAGAACGACATAAATAACAAATTAAAGTCGTTACATCAGGAAGACACTATTTCACCAATTCATTGAACACAGACAAATACAGCACCTTGCGAAATGAAAATTGGTTCCACCAGATTAATAAAACCTTACCTACAATTAAAAGGAAAAACTCGCAATTCCCAAGTGAAAACATCCAAACCAACCAAATTTTTGAAAGCAAACCAAATCTTAATAATTACAAAACTACATAAAACAACACTAATATTGAGAAAGATGGCTAAACTCCGATAAAGAAAAGGTAATTGACATCACCTGCTCTCACGCAATTCAAGCTCTCGCTCCCTTTCCCGCATCAACTCCATCTCTTTTTCACGCTCCAGCCTTGATCGACTCCTACTCCTCCTCGATCTCTCCCTTTCCCTTTCCCTTTCTCTTTCCCTCTCGCGCTCCCTCTCCTTCTCCCTTTCTCGCCTTTCCCGCTCCTTCTCCCTTTCTCTATCTCTCTTTTCCCTATC